TTTTCCCTCTCTCCAGTTGGTGTGATACACATACGGGGTGATCCGAACTTCACCAGAAGAGAGAATACGTGCACGTGCGGCCAAGAGTCGACGATGTTATACGTGAGGGATGAAAAGATCACAAGGAGAATAACCCCTATATACGAGAATATGGGCTAGCGGGGTTTATTTGCATGAGGGGTGGGTGTGAGGGAAAGCAATGCGTGCCTCCCTGGGAGGTTTTTAAAAAAAAAAAAAAATTGCGTGACGAAATTTTTTACCCAGATAAAGAGCAAGAGAGAGAGAGAGAGTATTTTGAAATAAATTCTCTTCCAAAAGAGAGGAGAGTAAAAAATAAAAGCATAAAAAAGCAATAATGTTACATTTACAGGGTTGCCACAAAACATGGCTTTTCCAGGTTTTCCATACCAATTTTTAAAAAATTCCAGACCCAGAAATAAAATTTGTTTGATAAATTTTTATCTGATTATGACAAAAAATATAAAATACTTCAAGTAAATAATTATTTATAACATAAGTTATTAATTTTATAAATAATTAAAATTTAAGTTAAATTTTGCGAGATTATTTGCGATACTCCGAAGAAAAGTTAAAAGCAAATCGTTTTAAGGTTATATGTTTGTGTTATTTTTAACTCAATTAAAAGTTTTTGTTTCATTTTGTAAAACAAAATTTAATTTTGATTTAGGTATTATTTTGTTGTAAAAAAGATTTTAATATTAGTTTTTTATATTGAGACTTAATCCCCTTTGTGTAATTTCATTCAAAAAATTGCAAACTTAAAAGTATGAAAAATTCAGATTTTTCAAAGATTTTAAGTTGAAACCTTTTAAAAATTCCATGATTTCTAAAAATTCATGCTATATCTAATGTTTTCAATATTTAATTATTATCTAAAATTTTAACTGAAATAGAATTTTAAATAAATTTTTATTAGAAAATTCTAAGAGAATTCAATTATTTAAAAACAAAAATAAAAAAATTATTGAATAATTGAATGTTTCTTCAAATTGAATTCTCATGAAGAATTTTATCAACAAATATTTAAATAATTCTGCGATGAGTTTTAGTATTTATGAAAATAATTGAATTCTTGAAAAGAATTTTATTATTTATGAAAATAATTAAATTATTGCGAAGAAATTTATAAAAAAAAATTGTAAATAATTGAATTCCTGGGAAATTTTTATTATTTATGAAAATATTGAAATGTTTGCGTAGAATTTTATCAAGTTTTTTTTTGAATAATTGAATTCCTTTGCAAAATAACATTAAAATGGTAGACATTGAAAATCATAGAATTGAAGAAAATTTTTGAAAATAAGAAATTTTGCCAAAATTTTATTAAAGGTTTTGAAAATAATTTAACTTCTCAGATAAAATTTTATTATTTATAAAGATAATTGAAATTTTGACAAGAATTTTTGTAAATTTTTAAACATAATTGGATTTCTGCGAAGAATTTTATTAAAATTATTTTGAAAAAAATTGAATTTCTATGCGAAGAATTTCATTAAAATTTTTGAAAATAATTTTATTCTTTACAGAAATTGAATTAAAAAATGTATTAAAAATAATACTTAAATTCTGATAAATAAATTGTAGCAAAGGTTATTAAAATAATTAAATTTCTTTGATAAATTTAATGAAATTTTTAACAATAATAACTTTTTTCGCGGAATTCCATTAAAATTGTATTGAAAATAATTGAATCCCTGTAAAAAATGTTATTATTTAGGAAAATAATTGAATAATATATGAAAATACTTTGTAAATAATTGAATTGCTGTGAAATTTTCATTATTCATGAAAATAATGAAATGTTTGCGTAGAAGTTTATTAAAATTTTTTTGAACTAATTGAATTCTTTTAGGAATTTTTATTAAAGTAGTAGATATTAAAAACCATTGGATTGAGGAAAGTTTTTGAAAATAATTAAAATTTTTGAAAATAATTGAATTTCTGAGAATAATTTTACTACTTTTGAAAATAATTGAACAATCATTTGTAATTGCTTCAAAATTCAATTTGTTTTAGTGTTTTTAACTAAAATTCTTCTATAAATCCATTATTTTTAATAATATTAATTAAATATATATTAAAAAATTTAACTAATTTCAAAAGAATTTTAATTTAAAAATTTTTATTTAAATCTAAGTTTTTTTATATTTCTAATTAAATTCATTCAAAATTGAAATTTTACAAAATTTTAAATCAAAATCTTTTAAAGTTAATCTACTTATGAAAATTGTAAACGCAATTCTTTTAAAATTGAATTAATTTTGAAATATTTAAGTGAAGTTAGATTTCAAGAATAAACACAATAACTTTAGAAAACAACAAGTTTCCAGTATTTCGATCAAAATTCCCTGACTTTTCCAAGTTTTTTAATTTAACAATTAAACGAGTATTTTAAACATTTTAATAAAATTTCGGATTTTTCTAAAATGCATTTAGAAATATTAATTTTAAAATTATGCAAAGGAAAATATTTTCCAGAAGAAACTAAAATTTAGAAATTCCATATTGATTTCAACTGTAAGCACTGAATTTAAAATCAAAAAGTTGTACAATGCCAACTTGAAAACTTGAGATTCAAATACAAAAAATTGAATTTTCAGATTGAGACTTTATAAAATTCCCTGACAATTCCAGGTTTTCCATAACTAAAAAAAAATCCCATGACAATTCCAGGCTTTCCAGATCTGAGGCAACCCTGATTTAATAAATGGAGCAAATTATAATTCCCCTATATCACAATTTTCTAATAACGGCCTACTACCCTCGAAAAATATTTCGTGATGCTTGGATTGTAGAATCAATTCTACGGTCACGATCTCTCACGGACGATCATCGATTCCGTCCCGTGAGGGGAAGTGACCCTCCCACCCTTCCACCACCAGGAATGTATTCACGCCCGTATTCCAAGCCGAACTCGGAACTGGCAGTGCGATCGAGTTTTCTATAGATCTTCGTCCTTATATATAGTAACTGACGGAATTTGTCACCGCTTGTGAGAAATTTTTTTTTTTTCTTTAAAAAAATAATATTTACGTCAGAAATTATTTTTTTCAATTTGTAAAAAAATAAAAAAAAATTAGTTGGTCAATTTTTCTTAGTAATTAATTAATTAATTAATTAATTAAATTACAAATTAAATTAAAACTATAAAATAAAGATAATATATATGATTTTAATAATTTATCAATTGTTTAAACGCAGGCCCCTGACCGCATAGTGGGGGAAAGTTACTTCCCCTCACGGGACACAATCGATGACTGCCCTCTCTCGCACCCTCTCGCAGAGGTGTTTAATCGTTTCATCGATCTTTGCCCGAAAGGCATTAAATCGAGTTTGTATGAGTGTGAGTGAAGCAATTTTTCTCTCTCTATATATATAAAAAAGTTTTTTTCTCATTTCATTTATTATTGTTCCATAGGAATTAAGATTTTCAAAAATTTCAAATTCAAACCTTTTTGAAATTTAACAACTTATAATAATTTCAAATTCCCGAGTAATAAAATCATTATTTTATATTATAAGAATATTGTTACTGTAAATTTTTCAAAATTATTTTCATCCCTTCAATTCAATTATTATTTTCTACAATTTTTAACTAAAATTCTTCTTCAAATCAATTATTTTTAATAATTTTTGAAAAAGTTCTTTGAAAATTTCCAAATCCATTTTTTTACAATTCAATTTTACGAAATTTCAATTATTCGGAAATTCCTCTATTAAATATATATATATTAGAAAAAAAAACTTCAAATAATTTCAAAATAATTCAATTAAACTTTTTCAAAAAAAATTAATTCTACAGAATTGACGAAGTTGAAGTCCACAACGTTGATCAACGAAAAAAATTTATTTAATGCAATCAAGTATTATTTTTAATTTAATATTTGATTGTAAAATAATTATTATCAAAACGTAAACATCAATCTTTTTTTTCTAAATATTTTTGTGTCAATATTGCTGCGTAATTTTTAATTAATTTACTTAGTGAAAAATTTTTTTTCGTTGATCAACGTTGTGGACTTCAACTTGATCAGAATTGTTATTTAAAAGTATGAAAAATTCAGATTTTCAAAGATTTTAATTTGAAACCTTTTAAAAATCCATGATTTCTAAAAATTCATGCTGTACCTAATGCATTTAATTATTATCTAAAATTTTAATTGAAATAGAATTTTAAATCAATTTTTATTAGAAAATTCTAAGAGAATTCACTTATTTAAAAATAAAAAATTTATTGAATAATTGAATGTTTCTTAAAATTGAATTCTCATGAAGAATTTTATTAACAAATATTTAAATATAGTTGAATTCTTTTGACGAATTTTAATAAAAATTTTTAAGAATAATTATATTTTTTAAGATATTCAGTGGAAATTGTATTAAAAATAGGTAATTGAAATTCTGCGATGTGTTTTAGTATTTATGAAAATAATTGAATTATTGCGAAGAAATTTATAAAAAAGAATTGTGAATAATTGAATTCCTGGGAAATTTTTATTATTATTATTTATGAAAATATTGAAATAATTGCGTAGAATTTTATCAAGTTTTTTTTTGAATAATTGAATTCCTTTGCAAAATTACATTAAAATGGTAGACATTGAAAATCATAAATTAAGGAAAATTTTTGTTTACAATTTGTTTATAATTCAATTTTATGAAATTTCAATTATTCAAAAATTTTTCAATTAAATATTTATTTTCGAAAAACAACGAATTTAGAAAAAATATTGAATAAAGTTTTTCAAAAAGTAAACTTTTTCGGAATTTTTAATTAAATTTCTTATTCTGCTCAACACCGAAATCTATCATTTTTTTATATATCAATATTCTAGAAATTTCATATATTTCCAGTAGTTTTGATAAAGTGTCCTTAATTTTTTCCTGAATCAGTTCATCTGATTGTTTACAAATAAAAATGAATCGCGTGGAAAAAAATTGCTTTCCTCACAATTTGAAATTTTAATTTGAATTCATACCTCATAAAAGTCTCATCAAAGTGAAATAAATGAAAAATGGAGTATAGATTGAGCCTCCCTTCCTGATATAAATTTCCCAGTTGTTTTACATAATTGAAAAAACTCCAACATCATTTCCTTCATTATTGTGTAGTATGTAAATTGGTACCTAAAAGAAAATTATACGTCAGTAACAATCTAATAACAAATTACTACACTGTTGACATTAGTTTCAATGAAAAAAAAAAGATTTTCTCTATAATTTTTTTCATAAAAACTATTTCTTTAATATAAAAAATAGCAGTAGTATTTATCCTACAAAATTGTTTAACTAAAAATTTTAATCAATTTTACTCCAGGTTTTTTGTTTTCATTTTCAGAAAAATGTGTAAAACTAGAAAAAAATTTCCTAATGAGAATCATTGAATTTAAAACAAAATTTTTTTTGTTACATTTAAATAAAAATGTACATTAAAAATATATTTAAGTTTAATTACATTCACTATAAAGTTAACGCAAAATAAATAAATTTAAAGCAAATAGTAAATAAATTATACTAAAGAGAATAATAAATAATTACCTACATTTTAAAAATGTAAATATTGAATAAATAATATTAAAGTATATAAAATAAACAAGATTTGCAACTATATAATAAAAAATAATAATTTCTTTATTAAATTTTCACATTTTCTTTTTTTTACGAAAATCAGTATTGAAATCCTTTTTTTATTACTTTTCAGCCTTTTTAAAGTCAAGATTTTATTATAAAAAAACGTTTTCACGTAACAAAAGATAAATTATTATCAACCAACATGTTTTCATTTTTATTACAATGGTAATTTTTCAGAAACATTTATATTAAATATATACAAAAACTGTTCAAAAAAATAAAAAAAGTATACGTAAAAATTGTCCACCTGTTTGATTTTTATTATTGTAAATTTATAGGTTATGTTAATATTATTCCGCTTTTTTTCTCATTCTGCTCTATCATGATTTATATTTATCAAAAATTTATCAATAGTTTGATTTATATAAATCCTAATGTGCTAAATAAATAATGGAATTAAATCAAAAGCTGAAGCTTGCCACGTAGAAAGTATATATGAAAAGTTGTTTCATTTCGATAAAATAGCACTGCACTATAATTGCTTCTGAAATTTTTGGCGATTATCAATCACCTAACAAAAAATACTCAACTTCCGTGATTAATTAACATAAAATCATGCCAAACTCTTCTACACCTAAGAACTTATATTTTTCTAGTAGGTTTTTACGGAAAATTTTTGTCTTTGGCCAATACATGTGACACGAGTCATGGAAACGATGATATAACGATAACGTAAACATAATACGAAATTATGTTGGTTATAAGCAAAAAACCAAGAGATATTGTTTAATCACGAAATGATTTTCAGAATGACAACAATATTTTCAACATATTCAAAAACTTACCCTTAATAAACATTTTATCGAAAGAAATCAAGTAAAAGTTTGAAAGATGATAACAAAAATTGCGAGTATAAATCTCCTCTTATGTATGCGGATAAATTATTTCCCATCGCTCAAAGAAAACGTTTTATCACTTCACTGTTAACTCTAATTTAATCAATATTCCAAATAAAACAATATAACTACTTTAATATTAATGATTATAAAGATTATTTTCAATTAACAAACACTTATTTTATACCCAAAAAAACACAACGCTTTGACGGACAATAATTTTGAGGTTAGGTTTCCTTCCGCCTAAAATAGTCACGTGACTACGTGCAATTGCGCGCGAATTTTAAAACTCAAACATCCAACCAATGACAATTCAAATCACTGGACACATTCATTCTGATTGGTTAAGGCCAAATAGACCAATTTCAAAATTTTAAATTCAAAATTTGAATTTTCATTTGAATAAAAATTATTTTTCCTAATTTAATTATTATATTGTTTTGTAATAAAAATAAAATAAATTGTTACAAAAATTGTAATAGACAAAAAATTCTTTTTTGATTTCTAGTTTTATATTTTTATATAATACTTTTTTATTTTTATTTATTTGTTTCGATTATTTAACTTTTAATGTACTTTTTAAAATATAATTTACGACTTTAACATTATATTAGTCATAAATTTTTGAAAATAATACAAAGCAATTTTTCAAACGAAATATATGACTGAAGTTTCACGAACATAAAATATAGATTTTTATTTAGTGACATTGCACGTGAAACAATAAAGAAACTAATCAATAATCATATTTCTTCCTTTCTACTTTGTAATTGCTAAACGAAATGTAATTATTTTTTTTATTCCAATCATTTTTAAATAATATTACCATATTAATAGTAAATTGAATAAATAAAATAATTATTCAAAATAATATTAAATTACGATATTGTTTAAAAAAATACAAAAAAGTTTTTCCTTTTAATTTCTTTCATTGCGATAATTAAAATTAATTTATTGAATTAATTTAATTAAAAGAATAATACAATTTTTTTTAATAAATAAATTTTAATTTTTAATTAAATTAATTTTAAAAAATAATTAGAATTAATTTTAATTGTTTATTTGAAGATTAACCTTTTATTAAATTCATTGAAATTTTAATTTTTGATTAATTAAAAGAAGATTTTTCTAATTCTAATAAATGAAAATTTACCACTTAATTAAAAATTGTGTAAAATAATTTTGGAACTTTTTTTCAGTCCAGGTGAAAATAAACAAAAAAGAAAATAAAAATGGCAAAAAATATTAAAATATATTTCGTGGCAATTTTGGTAATTTTAGCTTCTTTACAAAGTGAAGCTATCAACATTGAAGATGGTAAATTTTAATCGCTTAATATTTATTTCTTCATTTAAAAACAATTCATTTTTTTTATTTAAAAAAAATAATAGAAAGTAAAAAATTTTAGATATAAATAAAACATTAAATAAAAAGTTTTCTGATAAATTAGTGAAAAACAATTATATTTTATAAATAATAGATTTTGAAAACAGTTGATTAAATTTATTTATATTTATTTTTTATTTTTAATGAGAATTCAATTGTTTTTTTAGTTGAAAATGCAGCAAAAAATGAAACACTTGTTGTTGAAAAATTGAAGGAAGTAATTTTAGGATTAAAAGATCTAATGAAAGAAGGAAATGAGACATTAAAGGTTCCTGTAACTGATCCTTTGGAAATTGATTCAAAGGATCTTGATATAGACACAAGTCAATTTCGGTAAGAAATTTTAATGAATTTTGATTTTAATTTTATTTAATTTAGTTTAAACTTAATTTAGGTTAAGTAATTTTAATTTACTTATTTCTAATTCAATTTTAATTCAAATAATTTTAAATTAATTAATTCTAATTTAATTTTGATTTAATTATTTCGAATTTAATTTTAATTCAAAAATTTAATTAATTTACAAAAAGAAAAATAAACATTTTTGAAAAATTAGAATGTGTTCTATGAAAAAAAAATTAAAATATTTCTATATGAATTTCTACTACCTATTTATTTTTTTATACTTGTAAAAAATAAAGTAAAAATGAAAATTATTTTTTTTAGAGGCCATTTTTCATTTGGAAGTGTAAATATCACCGGTTTGTCTGACTATATCGTAAACAATGTTGCATTTCGAAATAATGATTTTCTTCTTCAAATTGCACTCGAATGGCCAAAAATTAATCTACTTGTTTCAAATTATAATATATCTAATGGTAAAATAATGAAAATTTTCAAAGCCAAAGGAAGTGGAAGTGTAAGGTAATTTTATTTAAATTTATTTTTTTAATTTTCTTTTTCAATAAAAATGATTTTACCTATAATCTAAATTTTCCCCACTTTTTTTTCCTTCACAGACTTGCTGCCAAAAATATCAAATATGCCATTAATTCAACGATAGGAATTAATAGAAACGATTCAACGCTTTATTTGAAGGATATTGACAATAATATTTCTATTGGTAATAAGGGTGATAAAAATTCAATTGAGGTCAGTAGTAATTTTAAATTTACAATTTTTTTTGTATATTGCATTCTTTGAATAATAATAAGAAAGAAAAAAAATTTAATTTATCCAGGTGGAGCATTTGGGTAAAAAGAACAAAAGTAATATGCTTTCGAAAATGCTTCTTAGAGTTTTAAACAAAAATGCAGTTAAAATGTTAAATAAGAATAATAAACTCATCGAAAGCAAATTAAAGGAAATAATACAATTGACAGTAAATGAATATCTAAGGACGAAAACCTTAGAGCAACTATATGGACTTTTGTAAATTTTTTCAAATCTCCATTTCTTCAAGATTGTTATATTTAGAAGGAAGAAAAGAAATCGCATTCAAAAAAATTTTTATTTATGGAAAATTTAATATTATAATATTAATTATTTATAAATATTAAATTATTAATATAAATAATATTTTTCAATAACAAATCAAATAAATATTGAAAGAAAGAAAACTTTTTTTTTCAAATAAATTGACATTGCCGGAAGAAAATATTTTTTTGAATGCGATATAAATATTTGTATTTGTATTTACATTAATAATTATATTATTATTAATATTTCTATTTACGTTAATATTTCTATTTGATATTAATAGTTATATTTATATGAATATTTTATTAATTTAAATGCAACAAGTGGAAGATTAATTTATAATATCTAACTAACAGTAAACTGTTTTCTAATATTAAAAACAGTAATCTGTTTGAATATGTATATTATATATTTATAGAAAAAGTTATTTTTTTAAAAAAAAAATATATTAAAAAAATTCAAAACCGACCAATTTATTATTTACTCTTCCTATTCGAATTTAGTTACTTTTTTTTTAATAAAAAATTTATTTTGTCCAATAAATAGTTACGAATTAAATTTTCTTTTTTCTTTTTATAACGTGTTATAAATTTTTTTTTCACAATAAAATTTAATTCGTTGTAGATTTTTCTATTAGTTACAGAAATAATAAAATTAGACAAATAATAAATAATTAAAAATAATTTATTTTCATTTTTTTTTATTTCAATATAAAATACTAAAATAAAATAATAAAAATAAAATTACTTATGTGTCAGGAAAATTATATGCAAATATTCAAAGGAAATATTGTCAATTTAAATGCAAAAATTTTTAGCTCCAACTGTACATTGATAAAGTGATCTTAATATAAAAGCTGATTGGAATATATTTAACAAACAGTAGTTTTTGCATCTCTTTATCATTCTCTGTAAATAATAAATATAGTTCCCAATAATTTTACTCATTTCTATTTTTATTGACATTAAACGATTCAAAGGAAATGTTTATCTATTCATAAAATTTTACTATTTAACAAAATTATAATTTCTGACAATAAAATTTTTTTCCCCTAAAATAAAATGTGGAAAATGTGGAAATTTTCAATCATCATGCTAATTATTATTAATTTAATAGACTGCAAAGCAGTGGATGCTGAGAATTATTTAACAACTGGTAATTATTTAATTTTTAAAAATTTCTGAAACAATATTTTTTTGAAAAATTAATTTATTTATAAATTTAATGTATTTACTGACTTATGAATTTTTTAAATTTATTTATTTATTTACTAACAGTGCAAGAAAAAAATATTAATAACTATTTCTTTTCAGATTTTTTCCTTAATAATATCGAAAATTTGAGAACAAATTATTTATTTAAAAAGTTTTTAGAGCATTTCAAGAAATATTTGAAAAATGGAAATGCATTTCTAGGTATTCCACCAATGGATCCTTACAAATCGGGTCCAGTAAATACAATTTTGAATTCAGATGATATAAAGTAATTAAATTCTTTTGCTAATTTATTTAATTTTACTACAGCAAAAAATGTGTTAAAAAATTAATTTTGCTATTGAAATATCAAGGTATAAAAAAATTTATTTTACCATTTAAATTAACAAAAAAAAAAAAATTTAAATTAACAAAAACAAAAATTACAAATTTAGCAGGTATTTAAAGTTTAATAAAATAAATTCATTTTATTCCCAGTTTTTATTTTCCAGTGTATATCAAAAAAATGTTCAATAAAAAATTTCTATAATTTATTATTTCATAATGAATGTTTATAAATTTTTTAAAAAAATGTATTATATTTTAACAGTGAAATATTATATTTGAAAAATTTTCAGAGGCAATATTTCAATTAATAGTGTTGATATTTCTGAATTATCAAATTATCGTGTTACAAGAGCAGAAATTGAGGGACTAATAATAAAAATGGGTTTTCAATGGTCTAATATAAATGGAAATATTACTGCGTATGAGATTAGAAATGGAAGTTTTATGAATTTCATTCAAATTTTTGGATTTGGAGACGCAGTGTAATTATTTATATGGTACTTTAAAATTTTCAACTCGACAAATTTATGAAATTTAGAAAAAAAAATTAATTTTAACAAATTAAATTAACTTTCAATTTTATTTAGATATTTATTATTTCGTAATTCAATTTAATTCAATTATTTATTTTATTTTCATTATTCATTTTCAAAAATTCAATTTTGCATTACACATCATCTATAAATTTTTTTTCAATCAAAAAAGAAAATTCTTTAAAAGTGATTCCCAATTTTTAACGATAATGTTCCTGTTTCGTTAAATAAATAAAAAAAAATCAATGAACAAAATTTATTATCTATTCGCAATAGTAAAAAAGAAAAAGAATATAAAAATAAAATAAATCCCGAGATAAATATTGTTTATTGATTTATTTTTCAACATTTACAGATTTACTCTCAACGAACTGAATTTCAATGCAAATATTACTCTTGGATTGAAAAATATAAAAATATTTATAAAATCCGTAGAGTCACAAATTTCACTTGAAGATTTCGAGGTATTTCTTTTTTAGATATAAAAAAAAGTTTAAAAAGAAATTCTTACGTCTTTTTTTAAATAAATAAAAATAAACAATTAGGCATTGGTATTTGAAAAAAAAATATATAAAAGAAATTAATTTTCCTTTTTTAGTTCTTCACCGATGGTTTATATAACGATAGTTATATATCAAAAGAGATGTGCGCTGTAATTTCGCAAATGGGACCTGATTTTATTCAAAGTTATCAAACAACATTGACAACAATAATTAATGAAAAAATAACGAAAATAGTGGAAAAAATAATTGGCTACATAAGTGTCAATAGATTGAATTTCAATGAAATTCTTCAAAAATTTTCCTTCGAATCATTTTATCCATTTAGAAATTAAATTTAAAAAGAAAAATAGTTAATTTTAAAAAAATGTACTAAAAAAAATTAACACAATCGAAATGACGTAATGTTATAACTGAAAGAAAAAATTAAAAAAAGAACATGAAAAATAAATATTTATTCTTAAAAATAATGTAGATAATATATTATTTTTATAAAAAATAATATATTTTCGAAAAATAGTGTAAAATAATATGTTTAACTATATTTGTAAAATTAATGTAAACTAACGTATTTATATAAAAATAATGTATTTAATTGAAAATATATTTATTTTCAAAATGAATGAATAAATAAAAATCTACTTTTTATAAAAACATAAATATACAATGAAGTCAAAAATAAAATTGAGACCAAAAATAAAATAAAGGTTTTTCCAAAATTAGATGTGATTCTAAATTTTTTATCAGAATTAAATCTAAAAATATATAGTGTAGTGTCTAATTTATCACGGTTTCACAATGAATGATAAGAAGAATTTTGTAGTTTTTTTGATAAAATGCATTTCCAAAAAAATAATCTTAGAAATATGATGAAAAAAGACATTGACACGCTTTTAATTAAATATTAAAAAGTGCTTCAATCTTTCCACCTTCTCTAAATTAAATAAATTATCTCCATTTAGTGGTACCAATTACATCTTTAATTTATGGTATTTTCGAAAAACAAATATTTCCTTCTGATATAAAACTCTTTAAATGAAAAAATTTAAATAATTTCTAGTGCAGTAGTTTTCTATCTATCCACTCGATCGTACCTTTCGTAGACAGTGTTTTTTTTAAATAAATTCTACAACAATTAATCACAACTTTAAAAAAAATTTTTTTAGTGTTTTAAATTATCACATTGCATATTTTGCTAAAAAAAAAGTTCACAATGAAGATATTTTCACTAATTGTTTTAATTATCTTTTTAAGTCATCAAACTTGTGGAACAAGAAGAATAGTCATAAACAAATTATTAGCAAATGGTAGTAAAAATATTATTTTTATTAAATTAGGGTAGAGTGGGGTAAAAAAGCCACATTTTTACTTTTGATGCTGTAAAATCTGTACTTAAAATTTTTTTCTCAAATTTCCAATTGTTATTGAAAGTTTAGTTATTAAGCTTGAAAATTCTTGACGGAAATATTTTTTATCTCATGAAAAGACTAAGTTATAAGAGTTTTACGAAAGCGCTGCAAGTGGCTTTTTTGCACCACCTGGTGGGGTGAAAAAGCCACCCTACGATTTTAGCAAAACATGTTATCAATTTAGGTATTTTTATATTTTTCCTTTATTTATATGACAAATAGTCTTATTTAAAAAATATTTTAATAATTATGAAAGAGTTTTTAGCAAGCAAAATTGAAAATTATATTAAGTTTACCTGTTTTCGATTTGCACTGCCAATTTTTCGTACCTTTTTTTAGAAGTTCTCTTTAAGTTTCACCACAGATAACATATTTCGTTGCAACCGTTTATTCATTGTTTATTTTTTCAATGCACTAGATGCGACTGTTAAATTTGTCCGTCGAAAATTAACAAGACTGTTTAGTTATCAGAACTGAACCGATAGTCGCCTTCACTATTCTCTTCTCTCCGTGCACGAGAAATTTTGTAAAATAAGAAGGTTAGTTTAAATAGAAAACAAGTGAATTTCACAAAATATTCAATGGATTTTTTGCCCTGGCTTTTTTACACCCAAGACCAGTTATTAGAAAAGCAAAAACAAATTGTTAATTCAGTTCAATTTCCAAAAATTAACATTGTATACGTTTTCGGTATACTTTTCTCCTTATGTACAAACATTTACTTTTATTATTCGTTCACTTAATCAGATTGTAATATGTTTGAAAAGTTCACCAAAATGTTTTCAAAAAAGTAACAAAAAATTAAAATTACAATAAAAACAATATTAATCTAGGTACAACATTCAAACAAGATTCAAAAGTTGCGTATTACCTAATAGTATTTATATTCTAAACAGCTGATAAATCGGCTTAATAGTTTTTAAATAAAACTCAAATGGCTTTTTTACACCATGGCTTTTTCACCCCACTCTACCCTATTATAGAAAAAAGTTTATACCAAACGCAGTTTAAATGCAAAAAAAAGTTTATTGGAAAAAATTTGTAGAAAAAATGTTTATAGAAACAAAGTTTCAAGAAAAACAGTTTATGAAAAAGTGTTTATAGAAAAAAATAGTTTTTAAAAAAATAATTATAAAAAAATATACCTAATCTATAAAAAAGTGAAGATTTTAAAAGTAGAATTTTTTAAATATCGGGAATTAAATATGATTTTTCACGAAAATACGTACATTTTTTATTTCCGTTACAAATGTCGTTTAGATACGCTTTTTTTAAAAATAATAAAGCCAATCTAAAAATTCCATTGTTGGAAATAAAAAATTTATTTTCCCAAATCGTATAGTCTCTCTTGGTAAAATTGAATTAAAATGAAAAGCGAATAAATAAAATTTTTAATAACGTGTGTAAAAATACTTTTTAAATTATTTGTCTCTTCAAAGGTATAAATAAAGAGTGAATAAATATTGAAAGAATATTTAATATTTATTGAAAAAAATTATTTTATTAAAACATAATTAATAATAATTAATAAAGTTATTTTTCAGTATTTCGAAATACTAATAAAAACTATTTTTTATTCCCTATTTTGAAATTAATATAATAAAAAGTATTTTTTTTTTGTTCCTTATGTTGAATAAACGAGTAAACAAATAAAAAACAATAAAATAAGAAAGAAACTAATAAATCATTGTTTAATATTTAGTCAAAAATTTTACTTCTTTCATTTGCAATGAAATTTGATACAAAATTGATACAAAAATTATTTTTAACCAATTTAACGTATTTATAAACTAATTAATTGGTTCCTTTAAAATTTTAATATAAATTTACTATTGCATTTGCAACTTCAAGAAAAAAGAATTTCTATACAATATGCAATATTTTCTTCTTTTTGTTTCTTTTTAATTAATTTCCAATAAAGTTTTTAATAAAATTTTTAAAAAAATTTGAATTATCTATTAATTTTATAATTAAACAAAGAGTGAATAAATATTAAAAGAATATTTAATATTTATTAAAAAAAATATTATAGGAATAATGTATGGATTTTTTCTAAATTAACAGGACATGAGGCAGCACAAGATTTAATTGAAATGAAGTCTAGAATTCTAATTGAAACTATCAGGGATGTTATTAAAAATGGGAACAAACTATTGAAAGTTGGTCCTCTTGATCCCTTCAATATAGGATTTAAAAAATTCACAAATATTTCAACCGAAGAATATGTGTAATTTCATCTCATTTTCTTTTCTTCAATTTTCAAAATAAAATTTAGAAAAAGATTTTCAAAATATTTTTTTACCATTAATTTTATTGATTTATATTTTTATTATTTTTTTCTTTCAGTAAACTAGTAAATTTACTTAAAAAATATTTAATAAATTAAAAATGGTGTCCATCAAGGATTGAGAAAAAAATTTCCTGACTTTCCTAATCGCTGGACACCTTGAAATTAATAAATTTAATAAATTGACCATAATTTTTTTACAGAGGAAATGTTCAAGTAAACAGTATAAATATAATTGGTGTGTCAAATTTTAAAGTTGATAAATTGCAACTAAAATTACGTGATTTAATAATGAATATAAGTCTACATTGGCCAATATTAAATTTCAAATTCAATTCTTACAATATTGATGGTGCAGTTATGAATACCATGACTGTAAAAGAAACCGGAAATGCCGAGTAAGTAGAACAAAAAAAATAAATAAATAAATAAGTATAACGTATTTGAAAAAATAATATTAAATTTAATTCTTTCAGATTTCTCATTAAAGAATTGAAATTTTCAACACAATTTCCATTGAAATTAAGTATGAGAAAACAGCGATTGTCTGTAGTTGAAATGAAATCAAATATTTCTCTAAGCGAAGTGAAGGTGTGTATATATTTTTTTTTAATAAATATTTAAAAATGTTTATTTATTTATTCAATTCTTAATTGAATATATTAAAATTTTTTCATGGAATATATATATTATTCAAATCAGAAGAAAGAAAAATGAGAATAAAAAATATTTTTGTGCCAATTTTTTCATTTAATATTATTAAATTAATTTATAATTTAATAATTAAATATTAAATTATTAATTGTTTAATTTAAAACCAAGATAAACAAAGGATTGTTAAAATACATTTTTTTCTGAATTTACAGGTAGTGTCAATGGATCCTCTAAGTGAAGAAAGTTTGGCAGACATGTTTAAAGATTTTATCGAAGAAAATGTTCCAAATTATGTTGAATCTCTGCAAGAAAACATTGTTGGTGTAATAAATTCCTATTTAATGAAGAGTATCAATGAAATTCTCAGCAAAATATCAGCAAGAAAATTAATGCTACAATTCACAAAAATTTTAGTGAAAAATAGAGAAACGTCTAATTCAACTGTAACTAGTACAACAACTGCACCGACTCCTGCAACTTCAACGACTGATACGACTTTAACAATTGCAGCGAATTTTGCGACTTCAACAAATGCAGAAACTCCTACGACTTCAACAATTACAGCGAATTTTGCGACTTCAATAAACGCAGCAACTCCTACGACTTCAACAAATGCAGCGAATGCTACGGCTTTAACAACTGCACCGACTCCTGCAACTTCAACGGCTGCCACGACTTCAACGACTTCAACAACTACACCGACTCCTGCAACTTCAACAGCAGCCACAACTTCAACAACTTCAACAACTACACCGACTCCTACGACTTCAACGACTGATACGACTTTAACAATTGCAGCGAATTTTGCGACTTCAACAAATGCAGAAACTCCTACGACTTCAACAATTGCAGCGAATTTTGCGACTTCAACAAACGCAGCAACTCCTACGACTTCAACAATTGCAGCGAATGCTACGACTTTAACAACTCCACCGACTCCTGCAACTTCAACAGCAGCCACGACATCAACGACTTCAACAACTACACCGACTCCTACGACTTCAACGACTGATACGACTTTAATAACTGCAGCGTTTCCTACGACTTTAACAATTGCAGCGAATTTTGCGACTTCAACAAATGCAGAAACTCCTACGACTTCAACAATTGCAGCGAATTTTGCGACTTCAACAAACGCAGCAACTCCTACGACTTCAACAAATGCAGCGAATGCTACGGCTTTAACAACTGCACCGACTCCTGCAACTTCAACGGCTGCCACGACTTCAACGAATTCAACGACTGACACGACTTCAATGACTGCAGCGTTTCCTACGACTTTAACAATTGCAGCGAATCTTGCGACTTCAACAAATGCAGCAACTCCTACGACTTCAACAATTGCAGCGAATGCTACGACTTTAACAACTCCACCGACTCCTGCAACTTCAACGACTTCAACAACTAAACCGACTCCTGGAACTTCAACAGCAGCCACAACTTCAACAACTGCACCGACTCCTGCAACTTCAACGGCTGCCACGACTTCAACGACTTCAACAACTACACCGACTCCTGCAACTTCAACGAATGCAGCAATTCCTACGACTTCAACAAATGCAGCGACTCCTTCGACTTCACTGACTTCAGCGACTAATTCGACTCCTACGTCTGAAATGACTGAAGAATCTGAAACGACTGAAATGAGTTGCAATATTTGTGATATCATACATTCTTTCTCGTAAATCTTTTGTAAATAAAATGTTTCAGTTTAATAAAAAACAATTTATATTAATATTATTATTCTAAAGACAACTATTATTTTTTTGATAATAATAATAATAATAATAATAATATTAATAATAATAATAATAATAATAATAATAATAATTATTATTATTATTATTATTATTATTATTATTATTATTATTATTATTATTATTATTATTATTATTATTATTATTATTATTATTATTATTATTATTATTATTATTATTATTATTGTTATTATTATTTTTATTTTTATATTACACAACATTTTTTAAGTTTTCTAATTTATTATTCTAAAATCATTATAACAAAGGCGATATAAATCTTGAGTTTGATAAAATGATTATTTATATAAATGCTGATAAACTTCGCAAGAATTTCTCTTTTCTTTTTTGTGCATTTTCATTAGGTGTCAATATCCCTAAAGAGTAAGTTTCTTATCATTTATTAATTAGAAATAAATTTTATTCAACATTTAATTCAAAAAAAATTTGTTTTCACCTTATAGATATTAATCAAGATAAAATGAAACTATTATCGATTTTTATTCTGGTTGCTGCTTTAATTAGCAATCAATTAGAAGCATTTGAATCACAAAATTTACTGGGAAATGGTAATTATTAGTTTGAAGAAGTTATATAACTTCTTTAAACATAAGAATTAATAAAAATAAAAAAATAATGTTAATGAGAATAAAAATACGGATAATAATGATAATAAAAATGAGAACAATTTATCAATATCTACATTTTCCTCTTCTATAATAATAATCGTTGTATTCCGGTAATATTTTCGCAGTTTGAAATTAGGTAGTTGTTGTTTGTTTTTTGTTTCCTAACTTTTTAAATATAATAATTTTTCTTTCTAATTGGTTTCAATTTTAACATTAAAATATTGAAAATCATATTGAATTCTTGATAGAATTTTATCAAAATTTTTAGCAAATAATATTAAATTCTTTTCAGAATTTTATTTACAATTTTTTAAAATAAATAATTTTTTTTTTTTGTGGAACTTCCTGCTACAAAATGTAAATTTTTATAAAGCAGAATAAATAAATAAATAATAAAATAAATAATAAAATAAATTCATTCAAGAAATTTTATTAAAATATTGAAAATAATTGAATTCTTTAGAAGAATAGATATATAATATTAAAGGTTTCGACAATAATTATTGAATTCTTGTTCAAAAAATTTCTTTAATGTTTTGAATATAATGGAGTTTTTATAAAAATTGAAAAATTAGAAAATAATTTAACTAAACAAAGAATTTTTTTCAACTTTTTAAAATAATCCTATCTATTAATAATTATAATTAAAAATTTGATTATTGAATTTTATTAAAAAAAGTATTGAAAATAATTGAATTCCTGAGAAGACTTTTATTCAATTTTTTAAAAATAATTGAATTGTTTCGAAGAATTTATTAAAATTTTAGAAAATAATTGAATTCTTTCTAAAAATTGTATTAGTTTTAAAAAATAATTGAATCCTTTCGTAAACTTTTATTAAAATTTTTGAAAACAAAAATGATTTTAAAAAGTAACAAAATTAATAATAAATTAAATAAATATAGAATATTAAAAATAAAAAAAAAATTGAATCTCTTTCATAACAATTATTAATAGTAATATTTTTATTCTCATTTTTGATATTAATATTAGAACTTTTCCAATCGTTTAACTCTCGTAACAAGAATATTCAATTCGAATATATCGAAATAGTAATCGTACTTTCTCCTTTATCAATAATCATTTAGAGAATGGAGTGAATGACAAATTGATTAAATTAATTGAGAAATTTAAGGATATTTTGAGAAAAGGAAATGAGTCTATTGGACTACCTGTCATGGATCCTCTCACAATCAATCATCATGAATTGCCAATGAAATCAGAATTATTTAGGTAATTTTCAATTCATCAATCCTTTTTAAGAAGTAAAAAAAATAAAACGCAAAAATTGCTTTTTCTTTAAGGGCATTTGAACCTTGATGACGTCACACATGCTTTGCACAACGTGTAACGTCATCAAGGTTCAAATGCCCTTAAAACAAAATCAAAAAAAAAATAATTAAATTATTTTTTCCCCTCATTTCCAGCGGTGAAGTGAAAATTGACAATTTACAACTACTGGGACTGTCAAATTATAATGTTATAAAAGTTGATTTAAAAATAGTTGGCCTTAAACTAATTTTGGGTCTTCATTGGCCAGGATTAAATGCAATTATCAGTAATTATAATATTGATGGTGTGGCACTTAAATTTATTGACGTTTATGGAAAAGGATCCTTGAAGTGAGTTTCGAGAAAGAAAAAATTTGTTTCAATGAATTAGTGAAAAAAATAATGAAATATAAAATTAACAAAAAAAATCTGTTTTAATTTTCAATTGCGAAAAAAATTCTATTCATATTCACAAAATAATTTTTTGCCTTTCACATTTATTATTAATCTAAATAAATAATTAAATTCCATATTTTTGCAGAATGAATCTGAATAATTTGAATTTCACCACGACTGTTAGCATTAGTACAAATAAAACAGACAAAACTTTATTTATCAAGGAAATGAAAAGTGAAGTTGCTCTTCAAGACTTTCAGGTAATTATTTTATTTTTTATATTATTCATTGTATTATTTTTATTATTTGTTTACTATATATTATTTATTTATTCTATTTATTATTTTTTAAAGTAAAGAAATAAAAAACAAAAATCAGAAAGCACAAAAAAAATGAAAAAGCTCATTGGTTCTTTATAGAAAAATAATTGTTTATAGTTATATATAATAATATAATAGTAATATTATTAATAATAACAATAATAATAATAAAATAATACAAATAATAATAAATAAATAAAAAACAAATTTAATTTAATTTATAAAAATAATTATAAACAATTGTGTAACTTCATTTATATAATTGCATAATAGTTAAAATTATTGAGTAAAAAAATTAATAAGAATTAATTCATTAATTTATTAACTAGCGAATTAATCGAATAATTATAGTTTTTGATTACTTAATTTTTAATTAATTAAGAAATTTTACTAATAAGATAATATTATAAATCTGTTATAATATTATTATTAACAAACAATTTTTTTGCACATAGTATTAATTTTTGCAATTTTACGTAATTTTTTTCAGTTCTTAATTGATGGACTTTACAATGATAAGGATCTATCTGATATGACCAATGCTATTGCCACCGATTTGGTACCATCTGCAATTAAAACTTATCAAAAAAAATTAACTGGCACAATAAACAATGCGGTCACGACTAGAGCCAATAAAATATTACGTACAATGACACTGAAAGATTTGTTGGGTCTCGTAAATGGATAAAACAAATAAAAGCCCCCAAAATTTACCCTAATTTAAATTTTGAAACAATTTTCATTAATCACAATATTATAGAATAGTTATATAGAAATTTAATTGCATTCAATCATTAATTGTACCAAACGAAAAGAAAATCATTCAAACTGATAAAAAATTGTCATTCATTACACACAATAATAAAATAGTTAGAAATTTAATTGCATTCAATTATTATTAATTCTATCAAACGAAAAGAATTTTAATTTTTTTAAATAATAATTAATTGTCATTATTAATTTGTTGAATAAAATAAATAAAAATAAAATAATAATTTTATTATTTGATTACAATTTTAATTTTATACAATATTATTATATAGAATAAAATTTAATTATTGTATAGTATTATTGTTAAACTTTTTTTTGCGTTTAAAAAAAGAAACAATTTTTTCAATATCAGTTCCGCTGATAAAGAAATAGCTTGCGCAAATTCGTTATCGCTAGCATGGTGTGATCTCTATCTCTGATTTAAATTGGGTAAAATTCTAGTTTTTTTTTAAGGAATAGATTGTTAGACAAGAATCGAAGCCAATAAACTTCAATCAGATAATGAAATTTCTATAAAAGCTATTACACCATTGCAGAAAATATTTAGTCTTTCCTTTAATTGACATTAAGTAAGTACAATTTAATTGAAAAAATTTTTTTTTGAAAGAAAACTATAAACAAATAACTCAATTTAATAATTAAGAATTAATCATTAAGATTATTATCTAATTATAATTTTTTACGAATCTTTTTAATTTAAAAAACAGCGTTAGGAAATTACCTTTTCAAAAATGTTCTCTTCTGCGACAAAAGATTTACTTTAAATTAAAATACTTATTCTGGATAAAATATTTTTCTTTCAATATTAAGAAAATAAAAAAAAATAGTAGTAAATAGTAAAATTATCGATCGAATAACAAAAAATGTTTAATAATATTAATAATAAAAAAATATTTCCCTCCCCCCAGCAAAAAATGAAGATACAAATTATTATACTAGCGACTGTTTTGATCAGCAGTCAGGCAAAATCAATTTTGGATGTTTCTAATGAAGTTGATGTCAATTTGTCACCCGAAGGTAATGAACATAACATAAATCTCTACAATTTAAAAATATATAGTAAATACTATAAAATATTTTTCTATGAACAAATAAATTAAAAATAAAAATTAATTTTCACTTTTCTACATTTTTAGATTTAAATAATCCCGAGAAGAAATTATTCGAATACAGTTTAGATTCAAAACTCGAGGAAATTAGAGATATTTTAAAAAATGGAAATCAATCACTGGGACTACCCGTTTGTGATCCATTTAAACTAGATCACTGGGAGGAAAAACTCAATCTCTTTAATGGCTCAATTAAGTAAATAAAAATAATTCTCATAAAATACAAATTTAAAAAAAATTCATTTTAAAAGAAATTTCTCTATACTATCGAATTTTTATTAATTATACTTTGTATGCAATTTTATATTTTTTGTCTCAAATAATTTGTTCTTTTTTTGTAAGTAAAAAACGAAATTTTTTTTACAGAGGTTCGGGATCCATTGATAATTTAATATTTACCGGACTTTCAAGTTATAAAATAATAGAAAGTGATGTTTCAATATTCAAGAGAGCAATAAGTCTACAACTAAAGTGGCCTCGTTTGGAAGGAATTTCATTTTACATTATAAATGCATTTATAAAAAATAAAATGATTGAAATTTACGGAGGAGGAGATTTTCAGTGAGTAGAAATTTTAGTTTTCCTGGTGATAAAAAACAAGGAACAAATAAATTTTATCGATCTAAAAATAATGATGACAATCACAATTATTTTGTAGAACAACCACTGAAGATTTAGTATTTGATACTGTCGTCTACTTTGGTTTGAAAGATGGAAAAGTGTACATTAAAAAAATGGATACTCGAATTTCCCTAAAAAATTTCAAGGTTTGTTTCGTTAATTTCAAATTTTTTTTTTAAATAAACAAATGAAATTAAATAATTATCTTAACTTTGAATTAAATACATAAAAAATGTATTCAATTGAAAAAAAAATTATAATTTCATTTTCGATAAGTTAAAAACATGTGAAGCTGAAGTACGCAAAGTTTTTAAAAATGGAAAAATATAGAAACAATTTTTTTCCTTAATTCATCTTCATTTTTTTAAGAAATTAATATTTTCTTAGAGGACAGTTATCATCAAACAATTTAAATTTAAAGCAAAAGTAATAAATTATTTTTTAGTTTTCGTTTTTAAAAACGTTGCTGACTTATTAAAATAATTTTAATGTTTTTTTTCCAATTGCTAACGAAAGGAAAAAAGTTAATAATAGAATAAATTTTTCAATTCACAGTTTACTATCACGGGATTGTACTACGACGAAGATGTTTCAAGAACAATGAGTATATTTCTCACTGAATTCGTAAAACAAGTAATTCGTGATAATCAGAAAAATTTAGTGAACGTTGTCAATAGTTTTATAATGATCAATGCTAATAAATACTTGAGTAAATTGACTTTTCAAGACTTATTAGAGCTACTAAGCTAATATTTTCATTTTCTAATCTAATATTATTAAGATAGATCACCTACGACAATCGTTGACAAATGTAAACTACTGGAATTATTTTTAAAGAATATTTTATCTTAATAACTTATATTTACTATTTTTATCAGCGATAAAAAAGAAACATTGTAACATTAATTTATTTACTTTTTTTATATTAATCTATACTAATTGTATTAATTTATTTCTCAAAATAAAAGAATAAAAATGCAAATTTTTTTTTTTGAAATCTCAGGTGTGAAACTTAACTTTGTGATAGAACATGTGAAATTATATTAATTCACTTGATTAGAAAATATTAACAGTATTTATTCTAATCCTATTTACAAAAAAATTTCATAGCTGTGTATACATAAATTGATTTTACAACAGTCGATATTGATAATTGCTTTGCATAATAAGTCTCTATAATATAATCTGCCCTATTAATACTGAAATATGTCCTTTTAAAAATGTTAATTTTTGTGCTTCTATATTTGAATCACAAGTTCCTTAAATTCATTTCTTTGTAAATATAACTAAAAAGAGAGAAATCACTTGAATCAAATATGTAATTCTTAAATATTTCTATGAAGTAAATATTTTTCAAGCAAATATTTACAACAGAAGAAGTATCTTTTTAAAATTAAATATTTTGAGACAAATAATGCTTAATTACAATTTTTTTCAAGTTTTAAAAAAGTTGAACTATTTAAGCGAAGTTATTTTCAAATTTTAACTTTTTGGTAAAATGTGTAAAATCGTTAATATGGAAACTATGGTAGTATATTTATTATACCATAGTTACTATAGAAACGAAAATAGTACGATAATTACCATAATACTACTATAGTTATTCAACTATAATAATATTATAGAAACCAGTACAAAGAACAGTTGAGAAAAAAATGAAATAATAAAAATAATTATTTATAAAAACCTAAAAATTGTTCCGAGCAATTCTTCAATGTCCTAAGGGCAAATTGAATATCCTCCTGATTTAATGTCGAAGAAATGCAAATTCTCAAACTTGGTCTTGGCATTTCTCTCTCGGCTTCAAGATAAGCTGGTACGATAATTGCCAAATTATTGTCAATACATCTCTTTGAAATTTCATTGAGAATTTTCATTTCCTCCAGAATTTCCCGTTTCTCCTTTAAATGCAAATGCTTTACTGGCGATTTCTCATAGCTTGTACATTCAAAATACTCCAATTCCTTTAGTCCTTCGTCAAATGATAAACAATTTCGCTTCAATTGTTTGAAAATTTCAATATTTCTCTCCATTATGTCGAGTGAAGTAATTGCTGCCGTGGTTAAAAGTGGTGGTAATGATGCCGAGAAGCAATAACCAAGTCCCGATAATCTGTGATGTTCAATTATAAATGATGTGCCCACGCAAAATCCACCAATTGAACCAATGGACCATTCCAGAGATGCTGCATTTTTTGGAGGGAAAAAATTACTATTTTTAGAGTATGTTATTTTCTTTAGTGTACACAGGCTTCGCACTTGATAATTATAATTTTAAAAAAGTAGCAAAACGTAGCTTTAAGAATGAAAAAAAGTAGTAAAAAGTAGCTACCGAAAAAATTTAATTTACGACTAAATAAATTCATTTTTAATCGAATCACAAAAATGTTATTCTGTATTTCCCTGATTTCTATTAAAAATATTCACTTTTTTTCTTATCTAACTTTAATTCTAAATTTTTAAAAGTAAAAAATGAATTCTATCAAAAATATTCACTTTTTTCTTATCTAACTTCAGTTCTAAAGTTTTGAAAGTAAAAAAATAGAATTATTTAAAATATAAAATTCGCCAAAATTTCCAATTAATTGGAAATTTAATTAATCTTTTTTAATTATTTTTGGGAATTTAACTAGTTCACAAATTTTTAGTTACAATTTTTCGAAAGATTAATTATTCTTTTTCATAATCTTTAAATAAAATATTCAAAACTTGAATAATGTTTGTTAAATAAATATTTAAATTAATAATTTAATAAGTTTTTAAAATAAATATTTAATTATTATTAGTTTTACAAAAATTTAAATTTTCAAAGACTTCAATTTAAAAATCTTTTGAAATTCAATTATTTCTGAAAATTGTTACTATAACGTTTCTAATATTCAATTATTATCTAAAATTTTAACTGCAATTTATTATAAAATCAATTCTAGTCAGAAAGTTTAAAGAGAATTCAATTAATTAAAAACAAAAATAAATAATTGAATGAACAATTAATTATTTCGAAGAATTTTATTATTTATAAAAATAATTAAATTCTTTTATTATTTATGAAAATAATTGAATTCTTGCAACGAATTTTAATAATTTTTTTTAATGTAATTAAATTTATGCAAAGAATTTTATTATTTATGAAAATAATTGAATTCTTGCAACGAATTTTATTAAATTTTTTTTAAATAATTAAATTTCTTTGAAGAATTTTATTATTTGTGACAGAAAGTGAATTCTTTCATAGCTTTATTAATATTTTTTCAAAGAAATTTAATTACAATTGTATTAAAAATATTAAAATTCTTATAAATAATTTTTATTAAAATCTTTTAAAAAAATTGCCTTCTTTCAAAGAATGTTATAAAAATTGTTTTAAATAATTAATTTCTTTCAAAACAATTTATAAAAATTATATTTTCAATGTTTTCAATAACTGAAGTTTTGGGAAGAATTCTATTAAACTTTTTTTTAATAATTGAGTTCTTGGGAAAAATTTTCTTCAAAATTTTTGAAATTAATTGAATTCCTCCCTTTTTTTCTTATTTAACTTCAATTCTAAATTTTTTAAATTAAAAAACTGGAATTCTTTAAAATATAAAATTTTATTCAACAAAATTGGACAAAATTTCCAATTAATTGGAAATTTAATTCAATCTTTCTTAATTTTTTGCGGAAATTGAACTATTTTCAAAAAATTTTAGTTACAATTCCTAAATAATTGAATTTTTAAAAGAATTCTATTAAAAATTTTATAAATAATTGAATTCTTTCAAAGAATTTTATTATTTATGAAAATAATTGAATTCTTGCAAATAATTTTATTAATTTTTTTTTTAATATGTAATTGAATTTCTGGAAAGAATTTTATTATTTATAAAAATAATTGAATTCTTGCAAAGGGGCCATTCAAGTATTACATAAGCATAGTTTTGAGGGTTTTAGACCCCCCAAAGAATTTTATTAATTTTTTTTTAAAATTGAATTTCTGTGAAGAATTTTATTATTCATGAAAATAATTGCTTGCAACGAATTTTATAAATTTTTTTAAAAATAATTATATATTTCTTTGAAGAATTTTATTATTTATGAGAATAATTGAATTCTTTCAAAGAGTTTTATTAAAATTTTTTTATAAACAATTTTTATTAAAATCCTTAAAAATAATTGACATTTTTCAGAGAATTTTATAAAAATTGTTTTTAATAATTAATTTCTTTCAAAAAAATTTATGAAAATTGTATTTTAAATAATAATTGAATTTTTTCAAAGAATTTAATTTTATTAAAATTTTTTACTTAAATTTTTAGAGAATTTAAAGTAGTGCCAATTTTAAAAAAGAAGAAAAATGTAGCTTTTAGTGTCACAAATCTAAAAAAAAGTATCCAAATAGTAGCAAATCGTAAAGAAAGTAGTAAATAGTAGGATTTAGTAGATGAGTGCGAAGCCTGTAGTATATTTTTTTTTTAAACCAAAAAGAACGAAAATTTTCTTTCTTATTTAAAATGAAACAAATAATTTGAAAAAACGTACCTATTTTTAGTTAGATGATTAAAAATCTTACCCATTATCATATCAATATCCTCCTTGGGAACGTCATAATATTCCGTGACTCCTCGTCCATGAATTCCAAGTGTGCCAAAGGAAATTGATTCATCGATAAAAATTCTCAATTTATATTTTTTACAAAGAACGACAAGTTCTGGCAATGGACAAATGCAACCTGTATTCATATAAATTCCCTCAATAATCAAAAATCGTCGGGTATTCGCCGCTTTCTTTGGATTTCGTTTATCAATTTTCTCCTGTTCCATTAGAAGTTTCTCCAAATCCTTCACGTCATTGTGCTTAAAATATTTGACATTCGATCGTGATGCGTCCAAGCCTTTTTGTATCGAGAAATTCACCATTTCATCGACAAAAACTAAATCCTTTCGTTTACAAAATGCCGGTATTGCCGAGGCAATTGTACTAAATCCATAAGAATAAACAACAGCCTCCTCCATATTCATGAATTTTGCTAAACGCTCCTCTAATTCAAGATGAACGTCAACTGTTCCATAAAATCCACGAGGTCCACATGAACCAACTCCATATTTTTGTACAGTAGCCACTGCCTTCTCTTGAATTTCATTATTGCCAACGAAACCTAAATAATTGTGTGTAGCAAGATTTAGACAATCATTGCCGTCAATTGTCATTCGTTTACCAGCGAGAGATGTCACACTTTTTGGCGTTAACGAGGGATGATCTTTCGAATTTTGTGGTACTAATGGTTCGGGTCGCCATTCTGATAATTTTCTTTGCACCTCTTCTTCAGAGGGTTGGTTTCGATTCACTCGCTGTCGTCTTTTTGAAATAAACCACGCAACCCAGAGAAAGATGAATCCTTGTAAAATTATATGATACGATGGTATTTTTGATAAAATATCAATAGATTGAAGTTGAATGAATTTTGCACTCATTTTTACAGACAAATTATTTAAACGATTTAAACAAGAAATGTAAAATATCAACAATACACGTAATTTTGAGGTTATACTATAGTCGACAAGACAAACTAATAATTATGAAACAATTCTTTTTACTTGTCTTTATAAATGTCCTATTTTAGAATGATAACATTTGTAGATAAAAGTATTTTATGTTTATTTTAGCCTTGGATATTTCACTTTTTCTTGATAAATAAATGACATTAATAAATAATACCACGAGGAAATTGAAGTTAGTCACATAAGAAGGTTAGGTTAGGTTCCCCAGAGGGCACCACAATCGCAAGAAATTCAAATTCTAGTTTTCCGAATTTAGAAAATCAATTTAGTCCAAAATTATTAATTCAAAACAAAAAATTAACAATATTCTTTATAATCTAAATATTTCCCGAATGAAAAATTTATTGGGAAAGTTATATAGTTTTTATCATTTTTTCAAACATTGTTTTTACTTCAATTTTGAATATAACCGCAAGCGCGCGTGCGCAACATTCTCCCATGTTGTACTTCCGGTATCCGGCAGACGCCCTACCCCTATTTTGTGTCGGTGTATTCGCTAATGTCACAAAACAGTTTTATATCAAAATTTTCAAGTATTCTCATATCGTTATTATTGTCCAGCTCTTTTAAACATTAGGGATAATTGTTTTGCATCATCTGCAAAGTTTTGACACACTTTCGGTGAGTAAATAATTGTATTATATGTTTAAAAGAAATTAATGTTTTCACAGCCGCTAGGTTGCTTGTACAGTCACTTTCAAAACGTTTTTACCTGTTACAAATAATTTCTCCCCTTGACATTTAATGTTTCATTCCTAAGCAAGAGTTTGTTCAATATTTAAAAGGTAATTGGATTTAATTTGCATTTGGTAAATAAATAAATAATAGTACTTTTTCTACTTGGTTGTAAGCGGTAAAGAATATTTATTCCCCACCTACTGTGTCTGAGTCATGCTTTTCGTTTGACATATGCAATCAATTGTCAATAATAGTGTGGTAGGTCAACAATTAATTCCCTTTTTCTTTGTTTTTCACTGAAAAATCGATATAAAGTTGTTGGAATACAGTGTTTTATTGAATATGTCCATTTTTTTAGGTTTCACACATTTGCAATATATTTGAGGTTATGAAATAGTGTATTTATAATATAATAACGAAAATTGTTATCAATCCTGTTTTTCTGTAATAGCCTTAATTTATTTTAAAAAAACAATAATATTTTACAATATTTATGTGTTAACTATTTAATTTCGAATTTAATCTTCATTGGATTCTTTTTTTAAACAATTGATGACATTACAGTGCTTTTGTTGGTCAATTTTCTAATTTGAGAGATTTTTAAATTACAAACACAAACAAAAATAATAAAATATATTTATTTACATCAAATATATTTATTTAAAAAACACCATATACAAAAAAATATACAAATTTTCAATGTAAAAAAATTGTTTTAAATCGAAATTACAAGAGTTTGAATTATAAAATAATAATCACAGGAGGAGAGAGCTAAAAATATCTTCTCTTTGAAAGGAAAATATTTTTTCAAAAATGTCATAATTAATTCTTTGATCGTATCTTTCCACCACTTATTAGTCACAGAACTCGAAGTATGACTCCTGATTTGTCAAACTCGTTTAATCGTGCATCACCTTTTACTGTGGAATGACGAGTCGATAATCATTTCTCAAAGAGTTTATTTTTAAAAAAGATTCCTTTTGTAAATAATAATTGCGAAGAATATTTTAAAATGCCGGGATTTAATGAAAATCATTGTGAGCAACGAATGTCACCTGACGATTACAAAAGTCTATTAAAAACCTGGAAAAATCGTGAGTATAATAAATATTCAATTTTTCGAAATTCACTCGATAAATTTCATAAATTAAATGAGAATTTAACTTAATTTCATTTCGTATCATCAGACGATAATTTAGTATCATATCTCATCAAAATTTATTTATAAATTAATACAATATTTGGCAATAAAATATCTAAATTACAGAAAATATATCTAAGTTATTAAATTTATATTAAATTGTATAATTATTTAATTAGAAATATTTCATTATTAGGAATTTTTTTCTAGTTTTCGATTTTTGCATTTTTAAAATTCTCTTGATTAAAAGAAAAATTTAGATTTTATCCAATGATAATAAAGAAAAAATGTTACTGAAATTTTTGCTTTAAGAAAATTTTTTTTATAAATTTTGAATAAATAATTGTAAAGATGGTGGAAAATTCTAAAAGACTTTGTCAATATTGTGTAAGGTTTCATTTATTTTGTACACTCAATTTCTAAAATAGGTCGTGTTCTTAATGAGATTTAATCGAATTTCAAAAAAATCTCGTATTTATTTATTGTAAAAATATTTTTATTCGATATTTTACATAGATATACAATTTTTCGATGCAACTGTATCTCGAATATATTTTATATCCAATTAACAGCACTTCCGAATTTATTTAACTCTAATCTTAATTCTACGTTCTAGTACATTTAATTCACGGTATTATAATTTAATTGTAAATAATTATCATGATTAATTCAATTATTACATTACAATTATTTAATTACAATGATTAATTTAATTATTATAATGCAATGAATATTTACATTTGTAATAAATTTATATCTGTTTTTTAGGCGAAAGAAATACCTTTTTCAAAATATGAGGGTTGAGTTTATATTTTTTCGATTCAAGGCAAAAAAAAGAAGCGAATTATCGGATATATTTCTACCTACGTGTGTCAAGTATAGAAGGAAGCGATTTTAATGATGTTGTTTCCGGTTGAGAAAATTCGTTTTGTATATACATGTGATTCTTAGACAAGCTGCAGACATAATCATAAGGCTAGCATACGGCAATAATTACATACCATCGATCATTCACCTTTCTGACATAGACGAAGCGAGACACAAACAAAAATAATTGGAAATTGATCATCAGCCTTGTTAATTTCAAAACTAATAACGAGCAGACCCTTTTAAAGGAAATTTAATCAAAGAAAACGAAATTTTTGCTACAATTTTTTATCGATAATAATTAAATAATTTTATTTATCGATAATAATTCCGTAACTATTTACCAAATCTGATCATCTTTATCTTCTGCACGAGATTAGAAGTTTATTTTTAAAAGGGGGAATTTTTTATTATAAAAATAGTACAATTAAAAAATTGGAATTTAAAAAGAAAACAAAAAAATTTGCGAGATTATTTTTCAAATTTTCCTCGGCTTTGAGTGTATATATGAAAAGATGCTGGAGAGGGCTGTGGAGCATCCGGGATAAAATATAGTTTTGCAGGATCCAAAAGGGTGAAAACGCAGTCGCGCACGCAGTCGCAATGTGTCGTTTCATTATGTCGTTTTAAGGCGTGTGACCGTGACTTTTCAGGTGTGGCGAATTTAAGTTTAGGTCGTTGACACAAGAAACATCCCCCGCTTTTCTATATTCATCATTCGCAAAAAAAAAGAATTTCCACGCAATTCAGTTTTTTCATGAAAAAGTTTTTCATGTGCGCCTTTGATGTAAATTTAAAACACGTTCCTATCGTTCATATAAAAGCGGAAGCTGCAATCCCCCTTATCGGTGTGATCAACCTCTCACCAAAATCTTCGTCTTCCGTTTTTTGCTGTTGTTACCCGAGTTTATAATAAAAAAACAGTGCCAAAAACAAAAGAGATAGTAAGAATATATACACCACAAAAAAAATATTTACACAATTATTCTCTAGCTGGGTAGAATTTTGAAAATATTACAACTGACAATAATTTTCGCGGAGATGAATGCTCAAGTGATTTTTGATTGCATTGATTCAGACGTTGTTCGGTGCATCGACCGCGCGTGCACAATTCAAGTTCACCCGGAGAAAAATTTCATCTAAGTAATTTTTTAAGAAAGTATCTCAAAAAAAGTGATTATACAAATTTATGAGAAATTTAGTGATGGATTTAGTCAAATATTTATTCGTTATCGTTTGTTAAAGAAGAGGAAAAAGAAGAAGAAGAAGAAGAAAAATATTTATGTGAAGAAAAAATTAAGTGGAACAAATTTATCGAAAAATTATACTAATATTTGAATCTGTTGATATATCGTGTGAATTAATTAGCTATTGAGGTATTCTGGAATAATAAAAAAAAAGAGATATTCTGACGAAAAGCAAATAATTTCCAAAAAAGAGACATTAAAAGCTGTGAAGGAATTAATTCTTGAAAAACATTGAAAGATCTCTTGAGTAATTAAGATATTGTTATCAACTGTAAAGTTTTATTGATATTGAGAAAGACTTTATAGACTGAAATTAATTTTAAGAATTTGTTGACTGAAAACATGCAGAGTAATTACCTTATTAAAGTTTTATACCCGATGAATTGTTTCGTTAAAACATCTTGAATTCTCATTGAGAAAAAAAATAGAAATAAAAAAAAATAGAAAACAATGTTTAGCTGTTGCGCCTGTACGAGACCTTCAAAATTAGATACAGAGGAGGTAAAATCAGACGAGACATCAGATTCAGACGATGACGACGACAGTCTCGAGGAAGATGATAAATCAGAAAATGACGATGAAAGTTCCGACGACGATACGTCTAATAATGACGAAGACGACGATGATGATGTGACAAAGAAAATTAAAGACGATAGAAAAATTTCATCATTAAAAACTGAAACAATTGAAAATGGAAATTCAACAAAAATCATTGAATCAAGTCCACAAAATAGTTCAACATCTACTGAAATTTTATCACAGAAAATTCCGTTTGAAGGCGAGGGAAATTTTCAAGATATAACGCAGGAAATGATTTCCAGTCCGACAAATAGTCAAAGTGAAGAAGTCGAGTATGCTGAAATTTTACCCAAAAGTTTATCGCCCGTAAATGATGATTCAGAAGAATCGGATGAAATTGAAACGAAAATTGAGCCTACCGTTGGGAAAATTCCCCCAGAAGGAGATTATTCAACAATAGTAAAAAAAATTCCAATTCCAGAAAAATTTGACGAAAAATCACCAGAGGAAGCAACAAATAAAATAGTAGAGCCAAAAAAATTGAGAGAACAAATATTTCAACGTGAAATGAGTAAAAGTTTCGATGACGAGGATCCAAGTCCGGAAAATTCGTCCAATACAGGTTCGGTCGTTCACATACCGAGTTCAATACCAGACAACGAAATAATTACCCCCAAAATTGATATTCCACTTATACAAAAGGAAATTATCGAAGAAACAGCAAAACTAGAGACGAAAATGTCTCAAGAAAATATTTCAAGTCCTGAAAATCAATCGGAGGAAATTATTGCTGAAATTATTCCACCACCTGAAGTCGAAGATTATGGTCAGCCTCCCGATATTGACGAAATTATTCAACCACCAGACGATGAGAATTTTTCCCTACCATCGGAAAATACTTTTCCACCATCCGAAACTGATGATTATTTTCTTTCGAGAGCGAGTGAAAATGTTCTCCCAATAGAAATTTTATTAGCACGAACAGAAGATATTCCTCCACCAAATATAGAAGATATTCTCCCACTGAAAATGGAGGATATTCTCCCACCGAAAATGGAGGATATTCTTCCACCGAAAATAGAGGATATTCTCCCACCGAAAATGGAGGATATTCTTCCACCGGAAATGGAAGATATTCTCCCACCGAAAATTGAAGATATTCTCCCACCACAAACGGAGGATATTCTCCCAGCACAAACAGATTTTCTTCCGCCACAAACAACAGAATTAGAAATAGCTGAGAATTTAATTCCACCACAAGATTATGAGGATTTTATTCCACCACCTCAAAGTGAAATATTTCTTCCACCACCTGATAATGAGGAATTTCTACCACCGCCTTTGAATGAAATAATAACATCGCCATCGCCGGAAAATTTATTATTGAATTCACAAAAGAGTCCATCGTTTGATAGTGATGTTCCAAGTCCGCAGAATACATGGACATCGAGTTCAACGGACGAGGAGAAACGTGCAATAGAAATTACTGAATTTATCGGAATTGCCGGCAATCTGAAACGTGACAAATCTCCCTTACATCATGCACCTGCATATATTGAGAGAACGCTAGACGATGGTCCAGAGGACGAGGGTGATGATTCAGTTTTTGAATCATATCCCACACCTCCTCCACCACCGGATATTGATTTTGATAGCAATAAAAAAAGCGCAGGTATTTGACAATTTTTTCTTCTTCTTTCAATTCATTTTTATTCTAAATTATTGAAAATGAAAAAATGGAATTCTTTTTCAAAGTAAATAAATTTTTCTCCTATTTTTCAGATGAAATTTTACAAAAACAGGGTTCCCACAGAACTGGAAAAGTCAGGGAATTTTATCAAAACACTACTGGAAAAATATGCAATTTCTAGAATTGACTAGAAACAATTCTGATTTTTGTTATCCAAACACATTTTTGAAATACTTCAAAAACCTTGAATTAAATTAAAAAATATTATTCTTATTTCTGTCAAGAAATTAAATTTATTTTAAATTATTAAATTCTAGAATACTTCTTTTATTATTAATTATAATTAACTTGGAGAAGATTATTAAATTGGCACTGATTTTAACTAAAAAATCAATACTAATTTTCAGAAATAATTTAATTTCAGAAGGTTTTTAAAATAAAATTTTTGAAAATTTCATTTGCTGTGAAGAAGTTAATAATACCTAATAATTAAATATTTATTTGAAAAATTATTTCGGTTTCAAATAATTTTATTGAAAATTCTAAAAAGAAAATTGGAAAAGTTTTATTATAAATTCTGTAAAATTATGTTTTAAAAATATTTCAATTACATTTTTGGAAAATAATTCGATTTTCGTTAACAAGTAATTGAAAATTTTTAAATAAGTTCAAATTTCATAAAATTCAATTTGAAATTTTTGAGAAATATTAATTTAATGTTTTATCGTATTTAAATTTAAAAAATATTTATTACAAAATTTTCAAATTTTATGGAAATGTTTTACAATTAAAATAAAAATCATTGGAGTGAACAGAATTGAATTGAATTTTAAAAGAATTATAAAAATAATTAAAATAATTTAATTTTGACAAAGTTGCATTTAAAATTGTTATTAATTAGTTGATTATAAAAAAAATTTTAATTTTCAATTTTGTTAAAAAGTTAGTTTTGGAAATTTTTGATTAAAATTCTGAAAAATTAGATTTTTTGAATATTTAAATTCTATTTTTTCAAGGTAATAAAATTTTTATAAAAAAGTGATCGATCATTTTTGCAGTACTTGAATTTTGCTGAATTTTTATGTAGAATAATTGATTTTTTTAAAAAGAATTTTATTAAAATTTTTGAAAATTAAAAAAAATAGGTTTCTGAAAAATATTTGCATATTTAAAGAAAATTTTATTTAAGGATTGTCAAATTAATTGAAATTTTGTGTAATTGAATTGAAAATAATAATACATATTTGACGAAGAATTAAAATTACAGTTTTTTAAAAAATCGAATTTTGGAAGAATTTCAATTAAATATATCGTAAATAGTTGAATTTTACAAAAAGTTTGAAATTTCGAAAAGTTTTATATAAAATTCTGAAAAATTAGGCTTTTAAATTATTTCAATTCTTTTTATTTCTACATAATTGAATTTCTTAAACGAGTAATTGAAAATATTTTAAATAATTAAAATTTCCTAAACTTCTATCAAAAATAATTCAAATTTCCTATAATTCTATAAAAAATAATTGAATTTCTGTAAACAAATAATTGATAATTTGTGAAATAATTAAAATTTCCTAAAATTCTATTAAAGATAATTGAATAACTTTGTAAAGAGTTTTATTAAAATTTTTTAAAATAATTGAGGGAAGTTAGGCACAGTAATTAATTTAATTTTAAAATTAGGTAGACAGCCTTAAATTTAAAAATTAAATTATCGCTTCTAAATTTTTTTTTTTAAATAATTGAACTCCTCTTGAACTTTTTTAATTAAAATCATGAATAAAGTCAAAAATGTGTCTGGAAATCAGGAAAAAAAAATCAAATTTTTGTGGCAACCCTGAAAAAAATCAAGGAGAAGAAAAACTTATTTATAAAAAAGAAAATCGTTTTCTAACTTAAGAATTATTTTTCTCGCCGAGAATAAAAAAAATTCCTTTTTTTTATATTTTCACCCAAAATAAATAAATGCCTTTTTTGATATTCTTATTGAGAATAAAAAAAATTTCTCGTTTGATATTCTCCTCAAGAATAAAAAAAAACTGCCGTTTTTTCATATTCTCGACGAGGAAAAAAATGCTTTTATTGAAATATAATAAATTTCGATATTTGTCAATAAAACTAAAAGAGGAATTGATAGAAGAAAAAAAAGAATGAGGAAAAATAGCAAAAACAAAAAAAAAGAAAGAAAGAGCGGGTGAGTGATGAATATTGAATTTTCCAATTTGGAAACAGTGCCACCACCTATTCCCCAATGGCTGTCTCAAGAGGACGACGATGAAAACATCTCGGAGGGATATGGAGGGATGCAGGAACCCCCTGCAACTCCAGTCGCACGTGACGAGTTGGCCTTGAGGCGGCACAGGTTTTTCTCAGACTTGTTACAAGCAACGAAAAATTCTGCTGAACACAGAGTGAGCTTCGACCCTCTGGGACCCACAGTTCATCTCGGTTAGAGATCATCAAACTTCATCCCATCAATGTGTTTTTTTTTATAGTCTCTTTTCACCCCCTAGCGCATGAGAATTTAGTGGCACTATACTCAAGCAAAATTTCTCAGAGAAAATGTAATTAATCAATTTTCTTTTACATCCCACGTTTACGGATAATTTTATTTATTTATTTAAAATAATTATTATTCCGTCCCTTCTGATTCAGAAATATAAATGAGAAAATCTAGAATTTAATTAAAAAAATTAAAAATTGTTTAAAAAATTAATTACAAAATTCTCTAAAACTACATTCAAGTAAAATAAATCTTGAATTTAAATTAAATTTTTGTCTGTAGAGTGTAAATTTAGAATTTTTTTTCAAATTTGGTATTCAATTTACACAAAAAAATTAATTAAATTAAATTAATATTATTAATAGGTTGCACTTTTCACTTTAGGACGAAATTAATAATAATAATTTAATTTACAAAATTCTCGCATAAAAATCTAAATATTACTAATAAATTTAATGTTATTATTTATTTATTTATTCATAGACCGCAACTTTCGCTTTCGAATGAAATTAATTTTATTTATTTATTTATTATTGACGGGCTTAAAATTAACGAACTAATTTTCTATTGTTTAAGTACGTCTAATTACATAAATAAATAAATTAATAATTAATAAAATTATAGAAAAATAATTCTTAATTAAATTTAGATTAATTCCTAAGCGTAAATTGACGCCCACGCAAATAACATAAGCGGAATATAAGCATTTCGCGGCTTCTCTAATAATAGAATCTTACTTCTCGCATCACTCGACTTTGTCTTTTAGTCCTCAAAGAGTTACTGGAAAGTCAACACAAGCACGTTATTTTTATTCTAAATAAAAAGAAAGGAAACTCAAAGTATTTCTTCAAAGGAAGGAGCCTTAGTTTGTTGTTTTAGATTTTTTTTAAACCAAAATTCCTCTGCTTTTACAACAAATAATGCAAACTTTACTTATCTCTATTCGCTTGCATTTGTATGCAAAATTTTCTTCCTCCACGCTCTAAATAATTTATTATTAACACATTCTGTCATTTCCAAAATATTTCTATTTTTATTTTAAATAAAAATAATAATTTTTTATTTACGCATTGTTCTTTTAAATACGACATTTTTAGGCAAAGTTTGTTGCAAAGCTTTTTGCACTTTTTAATTATGAAATTTAATCTTTGGCCCCTGAGTTTTAGAATGTTTGAATAAAAATATTTTTTTTTTAAATTATGAATTGATTGCAACATATTAGTGACCTAGTGGCTGTAGATGTTGACATAACTATTTGTGTACGTCTCTATATTTAATTCGCTCGAAATTCCGAATTTCAGCAAAATTTTATTATTACCACTGCGTTTTGTTTTTTATCTCTTGTTTGTTAATTTTATTTTCTAAATTAATTTTTTGCTTTTGTTATTTTTATTTTGTTTTTCACTCTTATTCCTTTTGTAAAATAAAATAAATCACAATGTTGTAATGATAATTATTGTTATTATATCACAACTTTCACAATTTTCATCTAATAACAAAAAAGATTAAATAAATAATTATAATCATAATAATAATATTGTTACTATAATTATTTAATTATTTCTCTTAGATGAAAATTATGAAAGTTGTGATTATTATATATTATAATAATAATAATTATTATTATTTTATAAAAAATAGTTAAACTATATTATAGTAAACTTAAAAATGTTATATCAATTTTTTTTTTTGTAGATATTAAAAGTTTCTTTTTTTGTTTTATTTAAATGAAAGGGAAATTTTTATTCTGCAGAGATCTTGAGTGTGATAAATTAATGTGTCTTCTTCGAATATCAACAGGTTGCGAGAGTGATGAGAGAGACGAGCACTTGGAGGAATTGGTGACACGACTTGAAAACGTGACGAGACGTCTCGAAAGAGTACCACAGGGAACTCCTGAGACACAAGAAATTGCAGTACAAACGAAAACTCCATCGCCGGAAAAATCGCCATCGCCAAAAAAATCATTAAAGGACAGTATCTCATCTGAGGATCAGTGCTCACAGGGTTCAACATCATCAATATCTTCCGCTGCATCTTCAATCGTTGAAATCAACAACATGTCAGTTGCTGGTTATGAAGATATTGTTGCGGGTCCAGTTCAGGAGTTTTTGGCCTTGAGTCAAAAAATCGGGGGCGATGTCAACGCTCACAGTCAACTGGTGGATAAGGCCTTCCAGTGAGTTTCAACATGAAATTTTTTTTTATTTTATACTTTTATATTCTTTTATCGTGATTTTTAATTTAGAATGTTTATTTTAGAATTCAATTGTCCTTCATAAAAATGACATCCACTCGACCAGCGCCAGTGAATCAGACCGAACAAGTGTCACTCCTTGGACCAACTTCGACCCAAATTCAACAAATTCAGGAATTCCGTGATAAACACAGGGCATCGCCTTTCTTCAATCACTTGTCGGCAATTAGCGAAAGTATCCCAGCATTAGGATGGGTCGCAGTGGCCCCGACGCCGGCGCCCTACGTCAAAGAAATGAATGACGCTGGACAATTTTACACGAATCGTGTTCTAAAGGATTGGAAGGAAAAGTGAGATTGTCTTCCAATTTTTAAAAAGAACTAAAAATTTATTTGATTTAGATGTTTATTGAAATATCAAAAACTTTTTGAAAATTGTATTTACTAAAATGAATGTTAAATTTAACTTAAAGATTAATTTCAAATTAAGAAATTCAAATTAATTTAGATTGAAAATAGTAAAATATTTAAACCAATTGAATGGAAATGACTAAATTTTGTGATTTTGAAATGATTTTAGAGACAAAACACATGTTGATTGGTGCAAAGCGTGGATACAGGTGTTGTCGGAGTTGAATCAATATGTGCGAAAACATCATACAACGGGACTGGTGTGGGCAAAAGGTGGTGCAGTTCCTCCACCTCCAGCAGGTGTACCTCCACCGCCACCCTGTATGCCACTTGGTGATGTTGCACCGGTTTTAAATGACGATCGTAGCGCACTTTTTGCCGAGATCAATCAGGGCGCAAATATCACTAGAAGTAAGTAATATTATGATGGTAAAAGAATTTTATTTATATTCTAGTTATTTTTATCAATTTTCTTTTTCTGATATTTTCAACTTTTTTTCCTCCAGTTGCAAAGAAAGCAACACTTTTTAAGGATAAAATTATACTTATTTCGATTTTCATAGTATGAAATAATTACTATAATCCGCACTCTTTTCCCATATATGTATTAATTTTATTTTCAAGTCTTTTAGCCTATAAAACAGTCTTTTGTTTAAAAAAAAATTAAATCTATTAAAATAAATTTTTTAAATTTAGTTTTAAATATTTTTCAAAATTCGTTTTTAAGCTAAATTTTGTTTGTAATTTCTTTTTATAAATTATATTTTAAGAATTACTTTGATTCACAACTTTCTATATTTTATTTACTCTTGAAAAATATGAATTAGTAAAAATTTTCACTAATTTTAGTCATTCACTAAAACTTTAGTAAAAGAATTTTTAACTTCTAAAGAAATTAATTAAATTCTACTGAAGAATTAGTCATAAAAATTGTTACTACATAATTTGAATTAATCAATGGCTTTTTACTAATTTAGATTAAGAGAGTACAACAAAAGTTTTCTTAAAATATTTTAGCAGGCTTCACAGTCTGCCCCTAAACGTACCCTATTTTGAAAATTTCCCTAATTTTTTATTTTATCTTTTAATGATGAATTCACACCAAATTTAGCAAAGTGCCATTGAAACTTTCAATTGGAAACTTTTGTTTTGAAAGTTTAAAATCTTGAAATTTATGATCGATGAAATTTTTCATGAAATTTATAAAATTTGTAAGATTAGTATTTTGGTGAAGTTAAGTCTCAATTATGTTTAGAAGTTGGTTGTATTTTAAATTCTTATAATCTGTACAAACTTGTTATGACCTACATTATTTTTAAAAGACAATATTCATACCCATACAATTATTTTAAAAAAATTTCACGAAGATCTCGTCAAGAATTCAATTATCTTTACAAATAGCAAAATTTTTCGCTAAAAATTAAATTATTTTCAAAAATTTATAAAAATCTTTGCAAAAGTTGAATTAATTTCGAAAGTTTTTTGCAATTTAATAATTTTCAATATTTACTATTTTCATAAAATTTATCAATAGATTAAATTATAGAAAAAACTTGTTAATACAATTCTTCGAAAAGATTCAATTATTTTCATAAATAATAAAATTTCATTTACGAATTCAATTATTTTCATCGCAGAATTTCAAATATTTTTAATACAATTTTAAATAAATTCCTTGAAAAATGCAATTATTATTAAAAATTTTATTAAAACTTGAGGAAAGAATTCAATTTTAAGAAACATTCAATTATTCAATAAAACAATAAAATTCGTTGCAATAATTCAAATATTTTCATAAATAACATTTAATAATTATTTTAAGGAATTTTAATAAAATTCTTTTCCAAAATTCAATTATTTTGATATAACAATAAAATACTTTGCAAAAATTAAATTATTTAAAAAATTTTTAAAAAATTCTCGTCAAGAATTAAATTATCTTTATAAATAGTTAGGAAAACTGCTTCTTAAGAATTAAATTATTGTCAGAAATTTTTTAAATATTCTTCTCAAGAAGTCAATTATTTTCAAAAATTTTAATAAAATTCTTCTCATAAATTCAATTGTTTTCCAAAATTATTATTTAAATTCTTCTCAGGAATTCAATTATTTTAAAAAAATTTAATAAAATTCTTCAAAAAGTTTTCAATTATTTTCAAAAATATTGTTATAAAATTCTTTAATATAATAAATTTCATTAAAATTTTAATTAAATTCCTTAAAAGTAATTAAATATTTTCAAAAGTTGTTAATAAAATTCTTCGTAAAAATCAAATTTTAAGAAACATTCAATATTATTTATTTTTGTATTAAAATAATTAATTTCTCGTAGAATTAAATTATTATTTTTCGTACTTTTAACTAACAATTCTGTAGAATTAATTTTTTTGAAAAAGTTTAATTGAATAATAATTGATGTTATTGATTTAAAGTAGAATTTTAGTTGAAAATTCTAGAAAATGTCGAAGACTCGGAGTGATCGATTTCTTCATGTTTTATAATAATAATAAATAAATAAAATATTCTTATGAGTAAGAGTTGTTCAATTTGAAAAGGTTTGAATTTAAAATTTTTGAACATCTTAATTCCAATGAAAAAAAATGATTAAATATTTATTTTAAATAAAACTATTGATGTTTTCGAAAAATTTTACTATTGAAGAAATTTGTAAATAAATTTAATAGAAAATTTTTTGGCGTATCTAATAATTTTTAGAGTAAAGCAGAATATTCTGTAGGGTCAAGAAAAAAGTCAAAGTCGTGTTTGGAAATCAGGGAAAAGTCAGGGAAAAATAAAGTTAAATTTTTGTGGCAACCCTGTATAAATAAATTATTATTTTTATCTTTATTTAACCAATTTTTATGGTCCCCTAAAAGTCCCCTATTTTTTAATTTTCAGTCCCCTACTTCCCCTAAAATACTTTTTAGGGGCAGTGTGAAGCCTGAATATCTTAATTGATATGGGAAAATTATAACAATTATTGAATATTTATTTTTAAAAACTGATGTTTCCTAATAATTTCATAATTAAGGAAATTCGCAAATAAATTTTTCAGTCTATCTAATCATTTTTTGAGTGAATAAGAATATTCTTTAGGGTCAAGGAATAAGTTAATCTGGAAATCAGAAATAATTCCAGGAAAAACAAAATCAAATTTTTTGTGGCAACCTTGTATAATAAATTGTAGAGTAATCAGAATCAGCTTAAAATAATTAATTATACCTAATAATTTATAAATAATTAAATAAATACCTAAATTTTACAAAAATTCAAATATCTTTAAAATCTATTTTATTTTGTAAATTAATCAGAATTTAAACTAGTATGGATCTCATAAAATTCAGATATATTTATATAAAAGTACATTTATTACAGAAATACGACGTGCAAAATTTTTCTCTACAAAATTCATTTTTTTCAGATTTGAAGAAAGTAACGTCCGAAATGCAGACACACAAGAATCCCAATCTAAGGACTGGTCCAGCACCATTTAAAGCACCAGCAACGGCCAATTCTGGTTCTCCAATGAAAACCACGTTACCAGCAAATGCTCCCATTGATAAACCACCAGTTTTTACACGCGACGGCAAAAAATGGCTTGTGGTAATTTTTTATTTTTTTTTTGAAACCAAAAAGAGAGAAAATATCCCCAAATTTCTAATTTTTTAAAAACTTAAATTACTCATTATTTATAAAGAATGATTTACAATTTTTCTTGCTTTTAAAAATTATTAATTTTTCAGGAATATCACAAGGGCAATAAGAATTTACTGGTGGAAAATGCGGAAATGAATAACGTCATTTACATGTTCCGCTGTCAAGAGAGTACGTTAGTTGTCAAGGGAAAAGTGAATTCTGTCGTTATGGATTCATGCAGAAAATCTTCCGTCATTTTTGATTCGCTCGTCTCAAGTATTGAGTTTGTCAATTGTCAAAGTGTACAAATGCAGGTCAGTGAATTATTCTAATTATTGATTTAGAAAAAAAACGAAAAATTCCCTCCATGATCCCGAGCGCGTGTTTTTATTTCTTTTTTAAACACACATATTATCGTAAACTATAATCACAACCGTCAAAAAGGTGTTCAACCAATGATTTTAATGAAAAAGGTTTTCCTCGCTATTCTTGAAAACCTAAACCAAGTTTACTGCATAGCGAGTGCATTTTTTTCAATTGCTCTAAATTTGAATCTTGATTTAATAAATCAAGTAGATGAATATATTCCTCCTTTGTTAATTCTTCAGGTACGTCGAAAATTTTAAATCTATTTTCTTCGTTGCAAAATTGGGGAAAATCAGAAATTGATGTACTATTATCGATGACCGACGGTTTCACTGAAACTTCACGTTCCTTCTGTTCGACATGAAATGAAAATTGATTTTTCTTTGTTTCATTCATTGAATTTGTTAATTGATTCTTTGGAAATTTACTATTCTCACGATCCTTCATGAGTTCGAGGAATTTTTTTGGATTTACAACTTTTCTTGTACTTTGATCGCGACCTGTCATTATATTAATGTAAATTACTGTTTTCTCATCGGCTTTTTGTTCTTCTTTCTGTAAATCACAACCTGTATTGTCGCCGAAACTTTTTTCGTTATCATTAGTATTATTATTGTTTTCGGAAGTAGTCAAATTGTTATTCAAATATTTCGTTACTTCGTAATTTAGTTCGTCAGGCGCGGGATTTATTGTCAATGGTCCTCGATTTGGACTTCGATAACGTGGTTTTGGTTCTTTTCTTATATTTTCCAATCGACTCTTTAGAATTGGAATACATGATTTTGATGATTTTTGCGATTCTGAAGATTTTAGAGATGTTCTTGATATTAATTGGTTTTCTATCGTATTTTCGGAGTTTGTCTCTTTGTTAATATCGCGTTGGATCATTCTTGGTGATGCGAAGGAACGTGATCTTCGTTGAAGAGGATTCTCCAATTTTTCCTTATTTAGATTCAAATTCAAATTACTTTTCGCTCTTAATTGTTTGGTTGGTGAATTCATTGTTTTTTCTTTGTTAGCGGCACATTTTTCCTTCAGTATTTTTGGTGATCGTCCCGGTGAATTGAGAGGCGATTTTACTTTCCTATCATCGAGAGGAAAATCTTGTAGAACAAATTTATTCTCTGGAATTTTTATTTTATTAGTTTGGGAATTATTGGTTTTTTCGAAAATACTATTTCCACTTGTACTCGTATAATTTTCACTGCAATTTTCCGATTCACTTTGATTATTATAATTATTATTTATGTTCAATTCGCAAACTGATGGAATTAGACATTTCTCTATATTATTCTCTTTTAGAATTTCATCAAAAATATTGTATTTTTCATTTTCGGACATGGTTTTTGGTGATTTGAAAATTGGTTTTCGGTTTATGTCGTCGGATAAATCGATTAACATAATTTCTGGCTGTTCTTGAAGTTTAGCCTCTTTTTTGTGGTATTTTTGTTTTATTTCCTCTTTATTGTCATTTTTCAAAATTGCCTCCTGCGCTTCTAGAATAATAATTTCGGATTTTTTACAGCAAGAAGATGGGGAGGAGGAAATATTTCGATTCGAAGATTCAAACTTGTCAATTTTTTCACTTTCTGAATTAAACGATTTTTCACTTTTTATCCGCTTTGAAATTTCCGATTCTTTTTTCATTTTTAAAATTTCATTGACTGATTTACTCTTGGGATTTTTTTCTTCACTTAAATTTTCATTGATAATTCTTCGGTCCCTTATTATTAATTGCGAATCACTTGAGTCGAAAATTACTTTGTCTTGAATATTTTTATGAGCAATATTACCAGTATCTTTGGTTTCTTTTTTTTTATTTTGAAGATTCGTCGTCATTTCTAGATTTAAGGGTAAATTGTCATTCAGGGACTTGAAGATATTTTCTTTCGATTCGTTTTCAGTTAGGGAAAATGATCCTGGACGTCTTTGGAGTGATAAAACACTTTCTTGTTCTTGCACTTCGTCAATGTTGAATAATTTTTCAGTTGATTTTGTAAAATTTTTGCTGAATTTAGTTTCTCTAAAGACTTGAGTGGCTTTTACTTTATCACTCGTTAATTCTTTGATAAATTTCACAATACTTTCGTCACTCGACGAATCAGTGGTTGAAGTAAAGTTACGATTTATTCGTTTAATTTCGGTATCGAATTTATAATTTTTAGTTTCATTTTGATTTTCCTCTGATTCGTTTTTAGTCTGATCTGTCTTTTTCTTTAACAGTTCTTTTATTTCTGCTTTTTTATTTTTATCTTTCTCATTTTTATTTTTTTCTTTCTCATTTATATTTTTTTCTCTCTCGTTTCTAATTTTTCCTTTCTCATTTTTATTTTTTTCATCGTGATTTCTTCTCTTTTCCAGTTGTATCTCTTCTTTCTTTTCCATTTCGTATTTTTTCTCTTCTTGTAGTTTTTCCGATTTTTTGTCCTTCTTCAAAAATGTAATCTGTTTACTGTTGTTATAATAATCGGAATCTTTTTTCTCCCCTGAATTCGAATCCTCGAGTGTTTTATTTATTGGTAATTGAGAATCGTCCCATAATTCGGATTTTAAGTTTGGATTTTTTTCTCTATGAGACAAATTTACAAAACTGAAATACTCTGACGAGGCGGAACTGAGAAGAGTTTTTGAATTTTGACCTAAATTTTGATCCTCTTCTTCCTCTTCGTCAGATTTTTTACTTATTGTTTCAGTCAAGCTGCTTATGGACCGTTCCTCTGGAAGGACATTGAGAAATTTCGATTCTATTCCAGTTTTTCTGTCGAAATTGGAAATTTTTGCAATATTCTCATTATTTATTTCCAAGTTTGGAATATTTTCATTGTAAATTTTTGAAGTAGAGTTATTTGCTTCTTTACTTTTTAGAATTTTTGTTACGAGATTTTTTTCTCGATTAATTTTATTTGATATTTTAAATTGACGTTGGGAATTGCTTTTCATTTCTAAAGATGGTGATCGATTGTCCAAAATTTCATCGATTGCGAATTCCGTTTGACTCGAGGATTGTGAAAATTGATCGTCACTTGTATCCATCGGAATAATATCTAAATTATAATTTGTATCATTTTTTATTTCTGATACCGTTTTTTTATTGTTATTTAAATTTTCATCGAATGATTCAATCATTTGATCGGATTTCACTTCCGGTAGGTGGCATTTCGAATCGATTTTTGTAAAAGTATTGCTGGATATTTTACACTCGGTTTCTAGAATTTTTTCTTTTTCAATTTCTTCGGATTCGACACGATTTGAAACTTTTTTGTTATGTGTTGTAAATAATTTGGAATTTCTAACAGACGATGATGGGGAGGAAGATGAACTTTGATCTAAACTTTCGAATTGTTCAGAATCGTAGCAATTTGAAATTCCTTCTATTTTCTTTTCTTTTGTGTCTATTTTTAGATTCGATATTGGTTCATTATTTAAGGGACAATTTTTATTTGACTGTTCGCAGTCGCTTGATTCGTAAGTGAGTAAAATATCGTGCAAATTTTTCAGCTTTTCTTTAACTTGATCGAGGGTTTCTTGAGTTGATGTTAAATTTGATTTATCAATTGAAGAAGGTCTTGACTCGGTTTTTGTCGGGAAGGTAATTTTTGAATTAGACAAGTTGGAGTATTCCTTTAATATGTCATCAGTAGTTAATGATTGAATCTCGTTTGTTGAACTCATTTCTTCTATTCGTGATTCTCGGCCGTCTTCTGTTTTAGTAAGTTTCTCCATTTCAAGAGGTTCCAGTTTTTCTAAATGTCCTTCATCAGTCCTTTTCGTCTTGCAATTTATGTCACTTTCCTTTTTCTGCTCGTTTACTTCTCTTCTCAACTAAATCACATAAAATCTGTTATTTTCATTACTTTTGTTTCATCGAGAAGAGGATTTTTTATTTCCCTTCTATTTTTTAATTCTTTCTAATTTCATTTTTATTTTCTATTTTTTATTATTATTCTATTCTTTATATTTTCTTTTTTTTATTTGAATCAAAATTTATTTTTTTATTTTTTTTATTCATTTATTTGAGTCTAAATTTTATTAAATCGTTTAGTCATTTTTATTTACCTGATTATTTTTACATAAACGTTTTGCTGAAAATGTATTTTCCGAAAATCCGGATAAACTTTCAGCCAATTCCCGTAGTTGATTGTGATTGTCTAAATTTCGTGAGCGTTTTCTTCTTTGTTTATTGGTTGGCAATATTTGGGAAGTACAATTTTCACTTGAATTACTACTACCGTTTAATATTGTCGAATTATTTTTGGAGATCCGAGGAAATTCTGAATTTCGATTATTTAAATTTTCCTTATTCGTAATTTTCATTTTATTAGAACTGAAATACCTCTTACATCTATTCCATTCTCTGTTGGATAAAAATTCAAAAATGTAATTTTTCTTCCCATTACACGAAGAATTATTTTATTAATTTAAAAATTAAATTATTACAAACCTTACGGAATTATCGCCGCTGCTTTTGTCAGTCAGATCTCCGGATTCAATCGACTGGATTCGATTATGGAATTTTGATGATATATATTTTGTTTCTAAATCGACCAATCCGTTTAAATTCGTTACAGAGGAAACTAGATTTCCGTTGGGAAAACTGTAGTCCTTAATTTTTCTTGAACTGAATTGTGATTGTAATTTTTCGTATTATTATTATTAATATTATTTAATTATTGTCTATAATTAAATTAAAAAAGAAAAGTGGAAAATGAAATTAAAAATGAAATTAGAAATAGAATTAATTAAGTAACTTAAATCGAAATTAACCTTAAATTGATAACTTTTAGTGATTTAATTATTTGCAATCGAAAATTCTAACCTTAATAACAAATGCTTGATCCAAGAATTTCTGTCCTCGGGATTTGTTAAAGTTAATCTAATTTTTTGCAGTTCGCCTTTTTTATCCGATTTGCAGATATAATGGGGCAATGGCCACGTTCCGTATTGCATTTTATACGTTAGAATGTTTACCTTCAATTCTAGGTCTTGAACCTTAAAACCAACTTTGTTTAAATTTTCCTTGTTACTCGATTTTTCGTCCACCCAACGAATTTTGTAATACATTGTGTGTATCAAAATTATAACAACTACTAAAGCGATCAGGACCTTAAAGAAATGTTTCGAAAATTTATTATCTACTCCCTTTTCTCCTTTTTTATTAATAAATAATGAAGAGAAAAATAGAGAAAGAGTAAAAACATTACCACTTTTTTCTAAAAAGCTAATAGGAAAATCACACACACCTTCCAAATAAAAACGTCGTCTGTTAAATAATCCACAACCTCCGTTACAACTTCGGACCATAAATATTTCCAAATTTCGATTAAACATTTTTTCCAATTTTCCGTACATGTCACACGAACAGGTTGAAAATTGCCACCTATATTAAAGGTTAAGGAATATTTTTTATTAACGAAAAATTAATTTTTACCTCTAGATGATTATTTGTTTTGATGATGAAATTTTTACTAACCAAATTGCCAACGCATATCTAAAATTTTCATACAGGTTAATTAGATGATAGAAAAGTTACTATTGTAAATAAAATCCGTTTTTTTTTGGATAGATTTTTATCCTTAAATTAATCGGGAACTTGTCATCTTTGACGGTTTATTCTTCATTGCCCACGTTACATATTTCATTATTCTCGAAGTTAGTAACAATTGCGAGTCGATTATTTATATTTTTTCGATTTCTATATTTACACGTATGTGGAAAAATTCCGAAATACGCTCAAATGAAAAATATATTTCGAATTTATTTCCTTGAATAAGAATTTAATAAAATTAATAAAATAATTAATGAAGTTATTAATATTTTATTATTTATAAAATTTTTAATATTTTATTAATAAAATACTATTAGAAAAGGAATTTATTTGTTATACATTTGGAATATGTATAATATCCACGAAAGAAATTATTTTATCGGACAAAAAATTACGGTAATTATTTTATTTTTTCCCTTTTTCTACATTGAATTTATTCTCTATTATTTTATTTTTTAATGTTTAACAATTATAACAAATCTGATTTTATAGCACTTTTTAATTTCACACATTTCCGCCAAGTTTCGGTCACTCACATTCCCCATATGCGTGAATTTGTTTACATTTGAAAGAAAAATGTAATATTCAATTTTTTCTAAGGTAATGAAAAAGTATTATTGATTTATTTACTTCCTTTGTAATTGTTTATAAAATGTAAGTTTCAGTGGAATTTGAGTTTATATTTTATTTTCTTTTTCAGGTATTCGGAAAAGTTCCAACAATTTCCGTTGATAAGACTGACGGATGTCAAATGTATCTAAGTCCAGATTCGATGGATGTAGCAATAATTTCTAGTAAATCGAGTGAAATGAATGTTATGATCCCGAAAGGAAATGGAGATTATGTGAGTAACTTCTCTTTTCTTTTTCAACTTTATAAATTTTTGAAAACATTATTTTTTTAATAAAAAAAAATTATTTATTTTCAGACTGAATTGCCAGTACCGGAACAATTTAAAACGACTGTTAGTCCCAAGGGCCTCTCTACAGTTGCTATTGATTCATTGGGCTAAACAAATTTTTTATTCGCTGTTTTGTAGTCTAAAGAAATCCGACTCTAATTTAAAACAAAACAAAAAAATTAATTAGCGATACGATTTTTCGATATCACCATAGCATGATATGTAATTTATTTTCATTTTTAATTAAGGCTTTACGAGATTAAAGAAAAACTCGTAGATAGATTTATAAAACAAAGGACTGACTTTTGGTCTTTTTTTAAAATGAAATTTATTAATATTAATTTTTTTTGCGATTTAAGAGCTTTTTTCAGAAGATTGCCACTTTAGTAATGAATTTTTGGAATGAAATTGTCATAATTAATGAAGCAAAAAAGAAAAGAAAAAACACTTTCGTAAATCGTAGATGCTAAAAACTAGACAATTTTTTCTCTTTAGCGAGAATCATTTTTTAATTGTGAAAAACTTAGTGTGAGGGAAATAATAGATTTGTTTGCTCGCAAGTAAGAATTTTGTTTTTGTGAACGAGATATTCCGCCTAATATAATATTTGCTCAAAAGGAAGCAAATTGTACTTGTTAGTACAATAGAAAAAAAGGTGTTCAATGCGGTCTGACAAAAGTTGAATTATTCTCTTCCCGCACTTTTATACATTTACACAATTTTCTATATTGTATCGTAATCCAAAAACTTTTGTTCAGACTCGCAATTTTTCGAATTGAAGACCTTTTCGCCCTGGAATTGTTTTAAATGTTTCATTTTTTTTATAAAAAAAATTGATTAGTGCACACCAAGTGGCTTTTTAAAAAGAAACGAAAATGAATTGAAATTGTCGGACAATTCGACATAAAAAAAATTGTAAATTAACACTCGACATTGTAAAAATAAAGAACGATTAATCGAATTAATAATAAATAACCAACGAATAATACGAGAAATAAATAAATAAATAATTAACGATAATTGTAACAGATTATAATCAAATTGTGATTATAATAATTGTTCTTAAATAGTGTTTAGCGAAAAAACTAATAATTATTGTTTTTCTTACAATATCGAGTGTTATTTTTCTTATTGGCATTCTAGCAATTTTTGTAGAGTTCGATCATCAGGGAACTTTTGTTCCACACATTTACATTGCGAATCGTTATTTCGATATTAAAATCGAAGCATTGTATACTGAGAACTGATAGAATTGTACCTATCTCGCAATTAGAATTAAAAATTTTTTTCTACTTTTTTTCTGTTTGATTACAAATTAGATAGCGGGAATTAATATTGCTTGAATGCAACAAAAAAAAAAAACATTACAAATATATTGTAGTGGCTTCCTTATTTTTAAAAAATAATTTTTTAAATTGAAATTTTAACGTATGCATTTTAAATTTAATTTGAGAGCTTTTGGAATTCTTTTTTTCTAAAATCATATCTAGATAGAATACTACCATCTGTTTCGGTGCGAGCAAAGGTCAAAAGAAAAATGAGAGGAAAATAATAATGAGCAGGAAATATCGATTAATTATTAATATTAATCGAAATTATTCTAATCTAGCGAAATAATCACTGTAAAGTGATTCTTTTTCGCAATATTGCGAGTTTCCTAGAGAAAAAAAATAATGAAGATTAGATTAGCGGAAAAAGAATGAAGTAACAGATCAAAAAAAAGAAAAAAAAAGTAAAGAGAATGGGTTTCGACTCGATATTAAAAATATTGACAGAGTTTTAAAGGAAATAATTTTAAATATCCTTTTTAAATTCCAGTAAAGTCTCCAATAAAATGTTCAGCCTTTGTTTTTCTTTGTGAAGAGATTCATTTTTCTTCATAATGTCATCCATTTAAAAATCTCTTCTCTCTTAAATAAAACAAAAATTATCCTAAATGCTTTGTTGTTACTTGTCCCGAATTCTTTTCTCATCAATTTTGAAACAATTTTCTATTTTAAAAATTTTAGTTTCTTTTTTAGAAATATTTTTTCCGTACTTTAATATTAAAACTTGATGTTCAAATATTTCAATATTAAAATATTTCAATATTAAAATATTTCAATATCAAAATTGTTAATATTAAAATATTAAAATATAAAACAATTCTGATTTTTATAAAAATAGGAATGAAGGGATTGAAATAATAAGTGTTTAACTTTTGTTTTAAATGTGTTATTTTAAAATAGATTACTTTACACTTATACAATTAGATTATAATTATTTTCCAAATATGTACACGTATAATGATTGAGTAATAAAATAACCTCTTTGTCCGAATTTTCATTTATATAAAAATTTAAATAATTTCTATAAACGTATCTCGCAAATTGAGAGAGTCAAAAATAATAATTATTTCCAACGAAATTTACAAAATATATCACAAACAGTCTATGAACTCTTAAAAAATATCTTTTTAAAAAACTAATTTTGTCATTATTACATTTAATACAATTTAATAATTTTCCTGTATTTTTAAATTAATTAAAATCAATAATTAATTTAATTTAAAATTAATTAACAATCGATACATTTAATTGAATAATTCATTAATTTTCAGTTTAATGAATGTGATTAATTTAACAATTAATTTAATTTAAATTAAATAGCACTAGTATTATTATTTTTTTTTTCAAAAATTGGTGGATGAAAAAATTTTCCAACCAAAGTCATGTATTTTTTTTTTTGTACAGTTTTTTTCTCCGTTTTTTTTTGGAGAAAATTTATTCAATGTTCGACAAAAATGAATTTTTATTTCGTGTGTAAAATTCTTCTTCAACGTTATAGCATTGACTAGAAGAATAAATAACGCCGAATTTTTTTTTGTCATGAATCATTGTATGTGGGTGTGTATTTGTTTTTCTAATTGTTTAAAAAAATTTGTGAAAAAATCAGTCTTTTCAAGATTGATTCGTTGTACAATTGCGCTCATCGCTGCCATCGGAACATTCGAGAAATCCATTACATATTCTCGATTTTGGAAGGCATTCACCTAATGGACACCTGTGACCCTTGCAAGATGTCATCATTGAGGGAATTTCCGTTCGACTTATCGTTCGTTCCATCCATGGCAAATAGTGATAAACTTTTGTGTAAACTCCAGGTCTTCCTGGTCTCGCGCATCCATATCCATTGGACGTTAGACCTGATGGAAAATTTTTTTTTAAATTAATTTTACAACCTTTTTCTTATGATTTTTTATGATTAAAAAATTTTTTTGTTTTATTTACTGTATTTTTTTGGAAATAATAAATACTAATTAATTATGAATTTTATTATTTTAAATTACTTTATGAACAAATATTCTAAAGTAATTTATAAAAATAAAATTTATAATAAATAATTATGTGAATGCAAAATAATTTTTTTAGAAGTTTAACAAAATTTTATTTATAATATTTTATAATAAACAAATTGTTTTTTCAATTTACTGCCTATTTTTAGAAATTTATTTAATTATAAATTTCATTATTGTAAATAAATTTTTTTTATTATTGAAAATTTTATAAATAAATTAATTAATTAATAATTTAATGAAAATTAATTTCTTTTAAAATTTTAACAAAATTTGCTTTTATAATTTTTCATAGCAATAATAACATTTTTTATTCAATTTATTGTATTTTTTGGAAATTCAATTCATATAAATTAATATGAATTGAATTTCCAAAAAATACAATAAATTGAATAAAAAATGTCAATTCATAATCAATAAATTAATTGATTATGAATTTTAATTATTATAAATTACTTTATGAATAAATATTCTAAAATACTTTCTAAAAATATAATTTAGAATAATTAATACATTTATAAATAATTAATTAATTTTTTGATCAACATATTTTTATAGAAATTTAATTACTATTAATTGAGTCGTGAATTTCGAAAACGGCTCAACTCTAAAAATCGTAAGAGTCATTTTCACTGTCATTAGTTATGTAAAAATGACACTTATGGTTTTTAGAGTTGAGCTCTTTTCGAAATTCACGATTCAATTTAATAAATTATAAATTTTACTATTATTGTAAATTAGTTTAAGAATAAATATTCGAAAATAATTTTTAAAAATAAAATGGAAAATTAATGGATTTATAATTAATTAATTATGTAATAAAAAACAATTTTATGAGATATTTATTAAAAATTTTTTTATAATATATTCTTTTTAATTTTATAATTTTAAAAAATCAATTTTTACACTTTTCTGTATTTCGATTAATTTTATTAATATTAATTGAATTAATTATAAATTTTATTATTAAAAATTACTTTTTGTATAAATATTGTAAAATAATTTCTAAAAATTATAATTTTAGAATTAATATGTCAATAATTAATTAATTAACTGCAAATATTTATGATAATTTAATAATTATCATTATTACAAATAATAGCAATAATAATAGTATTAATAATAAAAATAATAATAATAAAAAAATAACTATTAAATTGTTTTAGGAAATTGCAATTTTTTTGTTTATTTTGAAGAAGTTATTTTACCGTGAAGAGTGAATCTGTTATCAGATTCTGAACAAACAAGTGGACCTCCACTATCTCCTAGACAAGCATCTTTCCCACCATCTTTCAAGCCAGCACAAAGCATTCCGGACGTGATTCTGTAGAGAGGAAGAAATAGTGTCTTCCTTCGGCAATCCTCAGTGGAGATTAAAGGAAGTTCCGCTTCTTGAAGAGTGTCAGCTGAAGAAAGAAGGTATTTTTAACAACAATAGTTCAAAATTAATCTCTGCAAAAAATTATTGTCGAAAAATTTTTATTTTAGTTTTTAAAAACAAAATTTTAGAGAACATTTTTTTATTCATTACATTTTTGAATTCAAATAATTTTTATGGCGCCTAAACTTGCAACAATGTTGCCAACATTGCCTTATTTCAGTGCTGCGGAAATATTATTGTAAACATTTGTTATTTTCTTACAATTTTTCTACTTTTTATTTTTTTATATATTTGTATCTTTATATATTAGCAAGTGTTATTTTTTTTTGTATTAATTATTTAAAAAGTAAGATTTTTTATAATAATGAACATAAAAATGCGGTAATAATAGCAACTGTGGTTAAGTTGGCAGCAGTGCCATGTGCTAAGGTGCGGCGCGCAGTCAGCACTGCGCAGCATTCAGTATCATGTCAGCCATCAACGTCGAATGTCGTCAGTCAAAATCCTCAAACATCGCTCATTTATATCATTCAAATTAGTTTTTTCACATTAAATTTAAACAATTAGCTCTATTTATTCAAATTCCAATAAATATTTTACAATAATTCTTTGATTTATGGCGACATGTTGCACAATCAGAAGGGATCGGACAACATAACCTCAAAATGTTCATCAAACAGGTAATTGAAAAATAATGTTTTTTTAATAGCTCAATATGTGTTATTCCCTAAAAAAGGTGTTACATAAGGTTTGATGTGCACCTAATATGAAGAAAAACCTTTTCCGACGTGATTGATTACTTTCAAAATCGTCGGAAACAATTTCCTATTCTGTACCTGGCGCAAAATGTACAGTTCGTACCGTTAGTACATATCGTACATATTTATAGTTTTTCGTGGCGAGTAATAATATTTTGGCATTTATTAATCGTAATTAATGAATTTAATCGATCAAGTTTAAAATTAGTAGAACAATTATTCGAAATTTTGCAAAAGGATAAGAAAAATATTTTGCCAAAAAAAAGGGTATTGCGTGAAGTTAGCGTTTTGTCGTGTAGACAAGTAGTTCCATCTAGCGCCATCGCGTGAAAGTTTGATAGTAAAATTCCGCCAAAACAAAGAAGTGCGGAAAGCGGAAAGTTGACGAAAGGCATTTCAACAATTATTTACTTGTTTTTTAATAAAATTTTGAATTAAATGGTAAATTTTCTAAGTCGAGTACAATTATGAGCGAGATTAATCTAGGCCAAGTATAAGTGATAGTGTCGTATTATTATTAAAATGTATTAGCCGTATTAGCATTTAACACCATCGAGATGGGGAAACATAACCCTAAAATATTCTTTAAACCAAAGGTAATTTATATCGATTTTTATAAAACAACAACAAAAATTACGATTCTTGTTGCAAAACGCACTGAGTGAACTTAGTGTACGATAGAAGCATTTTTCGCCAAAATTATTTTTTTAAACTCTGTGAGAAATATTTCGTTTCCTCACTTCGCGTATAATATAAGATTAATTATTTCTCATTCCTTTATATTAATTGTTCAAAAATTAACGAATTTATTCCATTCAATAATAATTATCAGTCTTTCATAATTATAAATTCTAATTCGCAATCGGACAACATAACTTCGCAAATTAGTACTTTCGCAACAGCATAAAGGTAAAATCGTTTTTCCTGACAAAAGTGTTACGCGGACTATCGTGTGTACCTTGTACAATTTAATAACAATCTTGTGAAAAAAAGAAGTTTTAGTCAAAAGGGTTATAAAGAATTATTAATTTAATAAAAAATATATAATTTAGAATAGAAAACAAAGGAACTACTTACGAAATATTCGTCCAATTTCAAATAACTGTCCCCATCCGGTGACAGTGCACATTGTTCCACTTCTTGGCTCAGATTCTGGTAGACAAACAGGTCGAACATAATCGCTAAAAGTAACAGGAGCCTCGAGTCTCAAGAGAGCAATATCATTAATAAATCCATTATCAATGTAATCAGGATGCAATGAAATGTAATCCAATCTCAGTAATTGTTCATGTGGACTGGGAAAATTTCCCTTACGAGTCGCCCCAACTCTAGCCACCCAATGTTCATTTTGCGCACTGAAAAATTATCACAAGAAAAAAGGATTTTTAACTTTGAAAAAATTAATTTCTGATTCAAAAATATATCACAAAGTTAATATTTCGAAATTTACTCGAAAAAAATTAAATTATTTACTTTATTTATTTAAATATTGAATTATTATTTATTTATTTAATTATTTAGAAATTATTTCAGAACTATAATTCTGAAGAAAAAGGATTTTTCACTTCTAGAAAATTTATTTTGAGATTCAAAGAAATGTCCCTTTTTGATTGATTTTATTTGGCTTTTTTTGAAACATTTTTTTTTATTTTTATTTAGAGATGAATAAAAAGATATATTTATTTAAAATTTTCCATTGATTTTGTTTGATTCTGTTTGAAACACTTTTTAATTTTTATTTATATTGAATAAAAAATTTTTGTTTTGTTTTTTATAGAGAGAGAGAGAGATGAATAAAAATAAAAAGTGGAGCAATGGATTGGAATTTAAAGGAGTTTAAGGACCACCTACTCAATGAAAGAACTTGAAAACTTACTGATAAAAGCAGTGCCCGGCTGAAAGGACCCATCTGTCACTGATAAGAGCACCTCCGCACTGATAATCGCCCTCTTTGTAAAGGGCAACCTGCCAGGGCCAACTACCTGCTGAGGAACTACCGCCACCGACGATTCTGTAATGTCGAGATAACAATCTACTTAAATATTTTCGTTACTCAAAATGTATCCTTTAAAAGAATTATCTCACTCTTTTTTGCTTCGGCAAAAATTCATTTTGCTTTTTGGTCAAAACATTTTCAGGGGAAATCTCAATTTTCTGCACTAAAAGAATTAATTAATATTTTTATTTTTATAAAAAAAATTTCTTATTCAAGTTTTTTTTTAATTATATTCGAGTTTTTTAACTTTATTCAAATGTCTTTATTTTGATTAAAGAAACTTAAATTTTATTTTCATCTAAATTAACGTCATTGCGTTTTTTTTTAGTAAATTATGTGAATTAATTTTAGAACTTTTTAAAATATATTTTTTAAAGTTTTTTTATTTAGTTTTATTTAAGGTTCATTCAACTTTTTTCCCTAAATTGGGAATTAATTTATTATAAAAAAATACGAAAAAAATTTGGAGGAAAAATCTAAAAATTCAAAGAAATTCGTCAAAAAGAAATTAATTAGAATTTTCAAAAAATTCAAAGAAATTCTTCAAGAAGATTTTGATTAGAATTTTCAAAAATTTTAACAAAATTCTTCGCGAGAATTCAATTATTTTCCTAAATAATACAATTCTTCGAAGGAATTCGATTATTATCAAATTTTTTGTTAAAATTCTTTGAAACAATTCGATTATTTTCAATACATTAATTTTAAAATTTAAAAAGTTAAGAAAAAAAAGAGAAAACAACAACTAACTTCAAAGTGCGAACAGATTACCGGAATACATACAACGATTATTATTATATATACTAGCCAAATTATCCTTGCGCGCGGGAATGTTATATTGCACTGTTTATTGTAAACAATTTCAAGTCATTTTAATTTAAGTAACTTTTAAAGAAATACTTATTATGACACATAACTGAAAAACTAATTAGAATTAAATTTTCAAATTATATTATATTTTTAAACTTCAAAGTACATAAAAAAACTTTAACAAATTTTGATACTAACTTCAAATTTTACATCAGATTTTTAAAATTGAAAATAATTAAACTTTCTTGTACGAGGTAAATTCAATTTCGCAAAAATTAATATTTGATACCTAAATTAAAAATAATCTTCAACTTTCTGAACAAAGAATATAAATTATATTTTTTTTTAGAGAATTTGCACTATTTTAAATTCGCTAATTTTCAAAAAAAATTTCGAAAAAATCAATAAATTATTTAACAAAATTTTATGCAATTTATTTTTCACAATAATTTAATTACTTTCACTAATAATAAAATTTTTCATGAAAAATCAATTTTAAAAAAAAGTTTTGATTAAATTCTAAGCAAGAATTTAATTATTTTCATAAATAATGTTTATAAAATTCTAATGAAGAATTCACTTACTTTCAAAAATAATAAATTTTTTTACAGAAATTCAATACTTTTTAAATATTTTAATAAGCTTTTCCGCAATAATTAAATTATTTTCAAAAATAATAAAATTCTTCTCTGTAATTCAATTATTTTTGAGAATTATATAATAAAATTCTATTCAAATTAAAAACTATTCAATTATTTTCATAAATAATAAAATTTATAGCAGGATTTCAATTATTTTTAATACAATTGAATTGCTCAAAAATTTAATTATTCTTAAAAACTTAATTTCAATTCCTCGACAAAAATAAATTATTTAAAAAAATGTTTTTTTTTAAATTCTATGGAAGAATTGAATAATTATTTTCAAAAATTTAATAAAATTGTTCGAATGAAATTAATTGTTTTAAATACAATTTTAATTAAATTTTTTTCAAATAATTCAATTTTTTAAAATTTTAATAACATTTTTTCTAAGAATTCAATTATTTACACAAATAATTTTTCGAAAGAATTCAATTATTAAAGATAGATAAAAAATTTACTCCCAAAAATTCAATTATTTTGAGGTATTTTAATAAAATTTTTTTCAAAATTCAATTATTTTTAAAAATAATAAATTGCTTCTTGAAAATTACATTATTTTAAAAAATTCTAGTAAATCGTTTGCAAGAATTCAATTATTTTCATAAATAATAAAATGTTTTTTAGGGATTTAATTATTATTTTCAACAAAATTTAATCAAATAAATTTGTCCTGAAAACATTGAAAATTTTTAAGGTCCTGAAAACATTCTAAGTTAAAAAAATTTAATAAAATTTTCCACAGACATTCAATTATTGACAAATTCTTTAATAGAATTCTTTGTAAAATTTAATTATCTTTCAAAACTTTTCGCAATTCAATGATTTTCAATATCTACTATTTTCATTAAATTTCCAAATAGAATTCAATTATTTCAAAAATGGTTTGTAAAAATTCAATTCTTTTCATGAATAATAAAAATTTTCATCAATTCAATTATTTAAATTATTAAATTAGAATTTGCATAAAATTATTCGAAAGAAATGAATTATTTAAAAATTTTTATAAAATTCTTCGCAAGAATTAAATTATTTTAAATTCTTTCATGAATAATAAAATTCGTAGCAGAAATTCAATTTATTAGCAGGATAAGAAAAAAGTAAATATTTTTTATGAAAATTAGGAAAAAGTCAGGAAAATAAAAAATATGTAATGGAAATGTTGTCAATTTTGTGAAGTGAATAAAACGAGTTTTTTTTCGTTTTTTTTTGACATTAAAAAAATAAAAATAACCCACAAAAATTAATATTCAAAACAAACAAATGAATGCAGATAATTTGCTAACGGAAAGGAAACTTACGATTATTATAATGTATTCTATTATCTTTCCCCTAAATTGTAAATTAATTATTTTAAAAAACATAAATTAATTCAGAGCAGAAAATTTTATAGGAAGAATCTAAATTTAAAATTATTTTTTCTTTATTATTTTGTTTAATTTTCCCCTCTAAATTTTGAATTAATTTTTATAAAAAATTTCAAAATTATTTAACGCGGTAAATTTTGAGAGCAAATCCAAATTTGAAATTATTATTTTTAATTATTTTCCCCCCTAAATTATACTTTAATAATTATAAAAAAAAATCCATTAGTGCGGAAAATTTTAAGGAAAAATCTACCTTTGAAATTAATATTTTCTTTTTATGTTCAGTACCTTGCTTGAGAGGGAACTTGAGTTCTTATTCCACATTCGAGATTTTTGCATTTTACTTTGAGAACTTCTCCACTTGGACATGTCGTTGGCTTGAATGTTAAACTCGGCTTGTCTGATACTTTGTCGTTGAGTGATAAACTGTAATAATTTCGATCCATCAAAGTCATGTCCTCCTTAACTTTCTCCACCCTCTCGTAATCTCTGTAAGAATTTTTTGTTTTTTTTAAAGTTAAGTTTAAAATACCGTTAGTTCTAAAAATCTCTTTCTAAATTCGATCATTTTACCAATTAGTATTGAAAAAAAATTACTAGTTTTAGAATCCTTTTCTCTTATTAAAGTAAATTACAATATTTTTTACTATTTTTTCTCTTATGAAAGAAAATAAAAAATTTTTCTATTATTTTCTTTTAAGTTAAAAGAATTTAAAAACTTAACAATAAGAAAATTCCAAATTAGTTTCCACCGATTTTTAAATATTTCAAGAATGAAAAATTCTTTTAACATACGTTTATATATATATAATTAAATGGAAATGCACCGAAATGATAGAGAGCCTAATTTTAAATTCAAAAATTCAAATTCTCGAGGGTTAGAGAAATGAATGATCTCCTTTAGAAAGAAATCTCCGCCTTTTAAATAAAACTCACTGATATGTAATTGCTTTACAGACGGCTCTGCCTAAATCCTCAACAGTCCAGGAGGTTTGTCTCTCGAGAATTAGACTGTCAATATTTTCCAGACAGAGTTTACCCCATTTTCCATTTTTTCTCACATGCAGGAATCCCCTGTCATTATAATTATTCACTTCTCGTCGAATACTATTTTTTACAAATGAAATGCTACCACCTTTTGTATTCGTTTGAAAGGAATTTTCAGAATTTAAATTTGTTTTCGAAAAGGAATTAATTTCTCTGCCCGATACAACGTCGGTGATATTTTTATCATTAGAAAATGAAATAAAATCACTTTCGGTTGTATTTGATAATTTTTCATCACTATCTCTCATGTTTTGGGAAGTTGAACTTTCAAGAACAAGCGATTCTACTGCTAATTGATCGTAATCTATGGGTGTTTCAACAATTTTTTTATCTTCATCGATTGGAAATTTTTCTGTATTTTTAATTGGAGTGTTGTCAGAATTTCCATCGTCCACTTTCTCATCTATTAGGGCAGCACATTTTTTCTCGTCCTCTCCCGCTGGACAATCTCTAATGCCGTCGCAAACGTTGTTTTGATCGATGCAGAATCTATTGTTTCCGCAGACAAATTGTCCTTCCTTGCACCAGTCTGAAAAGAAAATTTTGTTTGAAATTATTTTTACGAGAAATATTTATAAATATTCGGAAATAATTATCATATTATTATTACAAATTTTTATTACTATTATTATTAATATTAATATTATTATCATTCATTTTAATTAATTTATTAATATTAATTAATTAATTAATATTATAATTAGTTAATAATTAATTTTATTCTTTTTCCAAACAATTATAATTTCGACTAATTGAGAGAATTTTAATTATTTGATTTTAAAAAATTTCATTCTCTGGTGAATTATGTAATTCTTTGGTGGAATATTAAAAATAAGAGACAAATTTAAATGCAATTGTCACATTTTTAAACATTTTTGTTTTTTAGGTTCTTTTTTTGGAATTGGTCCCTTACCGCAATTCGTTTCGTCGGAATAATCATAGCAATCGGGAACGCCGTCGCAGATTTTTTGATGAAAGAGCTGTGCCTTGAGGAAATCGGCACATGTACAATTAGCCTCATCTTCGGAATTTGTACATTCACCTAACATATTGCATCGAGCCCCAAATGGCAAACATTTTCCATCGTTACAACGAAAACCGGTACACTTTTCTGCTGGTAAGAAAATTTATTATTACATTTTTTTATTTTCTTCAACTTATTTCTAAAAGGGAGGAAATAATTCTTGTCTAAATAAAGAAAAAAATATTTATAATATAAATTTGTTCAACAAATTTTTATTTTGTGAAATGTAAAATTTACAAAATATAAATTTTAAAAAGAGATTAAAATTATTTTAAAAGTTTAAATAAAATTAGAACTATAATTTACATTAACGGCTAAGGAAACAAAATTATAATTTATTTTATCAAATTAATAATTATTATTAACAGAGCTCACAGTTAATCAGTTTCTTATTTTTTAAATTTTGTCACTTTTTTTCATTTATTTTGACTTCACATTTTTATCAACTCAAGTTTTAGTTTATGGAAATTTTGATTTATTCTTTTAAAAAATCAGAATTAATTTAATTATTTAGTATTTTCCTTTTGTTAAAACCGTATTTTAAATTATCAACTAATTTTTAAATTTATTACAGAATAATTAATTTTTTATTATTAAAAATATTGTTTAATTTAGTTTAATTGTAAATAAATTTTAAATGTCAAAAGATTCATTGATTAAAATTTTAATCGACTCTCAAGAAGCAGTTGGTAAATTTTATCAAAAGTGTTGAAAAAATATTAAATTTTTCGAATTTATAAGAAAATTCTTGATTTTTATGTTCAGCAACCTTTAGAAATATTAAAAAGATTCAATTTTCTTAAATTTCTTTTTGTTTACTTTATAAACTTTCAAACCACCACGAATTTTATTACAAAACATTATATTTTGTTTATTTTTTACAATAATTGAATTTTAATTGTTTCTAGATTTAATTAAGCAAAATTTGAAACACTATTAATTACCAATTATTCTTACCTTAATCAATTGCAAATTCAAATAAATCGCAAATTCAACTATCTTAATTTTAATTCATTCAATTTTCAATAAGTTTAATTTTAAATAAATAATTAAGCTACAATAATTGTGATCGATAGTTAATGATAAGTTATTATTAAGAAATTAAAATTATTTTAATTTTAAATTAAAACATATAATTAAATAAATTATCCCATGTTATTTAATATTTAATTCGATTTAGTTTTTAAACTTTCACTTTTTATATTCCATTATCAATCGACAATAAATTATAAATGTTTTATTTTTAAAATAATCATTTATTTAAAATATTTTTTTCAGATTATTTTATTTTCATTTGAAGAAACGTGACTTCAAAAGTGTTTTTCAAACTCTCGCAGCATTTTTCAAGACTAAGGATGGAAATCAATTCTTCGAATTCAATTTTTTTGAGGTATGAAAATTATTTATCATAATTTTAATTTATTAAATCAAAATTAACAATATAATTTTTTTCACTTTTTGAAAACATAAATTTTCTTCAATCTAAATATTTACAATTGATCAAATTTGTTTATTTTTTTAATTGGCTTCTTAATTTGGAAAATTTTCTAACGTAATATTAATTGTACAGTGCAGTGCTTTTTTTTCCTTTTCTTTGAAAACATAACATAATATATAAAACTGAATGACACAATTTTTGAAACAAGGTCACAAAACTGTTAAAATAGTATATAGTAATATTCTTTAATTTCAATAAGAATTTGTAACACTGGCCTGCCTTTGCAATTTTTTTCCCACAAAAGAAGAATGGAAAATAACAGTTTGACTTGAAACAAGTCTTTTATGCAAAAATATGAAAAGAAAATAAATTACGATCATAATTGTAGTCCACAGAAAACTAGGTTTCAAGACCGTTTGGTAATAATCTCAACTGAGTATTATGAACAAAAAAATGAACTTTATTCTTGAATTTAAGTTTCTGAACCAATTATTCGTTCACCGAAGTATAAGAAATCGAGATGATTTTTTCCTCAAATAAAAAAAGGTGCGGTAAAATAGAAGAAGCGTGAAATATTGTGGCGAGGGAGGAATAATAATTGTTTCTGATATAAAATCCTAAGATTTTTAAATTTTATCATTTTTAAAAAAATTTTAAATATGAAAGTCCCGTTGACAAAAAATGAAATGAAATGAAAATGAAAAGAAAAGATTTTTTTAAAATTCTTTGTCTTTTTTTGTTGAACTTTTCCAGATAGTGATTCTTTATTTTCATAGGTATATAAAAGGAACTAATTAATTTTTTTTGCCGTTAAGTAATTAAAGGATGTAATTAAATTAATTAATTTTCTTAACGAGTTATTTGGTCTGGACGAATATTTTTTTTTCTCTACAAGATTCTTACCTGTTGTTTGAAGAAGATTTTCCTCAGTGGTCGATATTTTTTTATCGATCCTCTCATCCTTCTTTGTGAGTACTTTCATCATTACCTCAACACCATCGCGACTGACAGTGAAACTCGATGAACTATTCTTGAAAACTGTCTCATTGCCAGCGGCGACATCGGCAATTTTTTTCAATTCATCAACATTTGTCATTGATGTCACAACTTGTTGATCTTTAATTTCCAAGGGGGAATTATTTTTAAATACTTTCTGTTTCGTTGTTGTACTTAAATCATCGACAGTTCTCACGTCAGCAAATTGTTTCAGTTTATCAATTAAAAATTGATTTTGTTGTCCGTTTGAAGTTTTTCTGTCTGAATTCTGCATTTTTTTTTGATCATCCAACCAGATTGGGTGACGTTTTGAGTCTTCGTGGAATGAACGTGTTTCGATTATTTCGACTTTGCCGAAATTTGTATTTGTATTTTTATTTAAATTTAAATTTATATTTTTATTTACATTTGTATTTGTATTCGTATTTATATTTTTATTTGTATTTGTATTTGTATTTGTGTTTGTGTTTGTATTTGTATTTGTACTTTCGTTGTTTCTTATTTGAGGGGTTGAGGAGTTAGTGACGATTAGTTTCAGAGACACTGGATTGCCCTGCACGGTTGATGAGACTTTGGTGCTGATTGAGGTGACGACTTCTATAATTTGCTCGACAGTGCCATTTTCATGAGTCAGTGGTTTCGTTTGATTGAGAATGTCCTTTCGGATTGGTTCCAGGGATTCTAGATTAAAGAGTCTGTTTAGAAGTGCAGCTTCATTGAGGGCCTGGAGTGGCGTATCGGTGGTTGTTTTCTCGAGAAGTCGGGTCGATTTTTCCTTGTCGACTTTCGGTCGGGGGCGAATTGGCCGAACGCCGGTGTTGCTCTTGACTGGCGCCAGGGTCACGAGGTTATTTTCGACGATATTCGCCTTTAGGGTTTCGTTATAGACTTTACGTTTTGAATCCAGTGTGGTGGAATTTTCGTTCCATGGAGCGGTCCACAGGGACGGTTCTTCGACTCCTGGGGATACTTGACCCTTGTTGGGGACATGTTTCATTGTGTTTATCTCGACGAAGGTGGAATTTCTTGAATTTAGCCATTTTCTTGTCGTTGAATCGTCTGGTGAGGAGCGTAGAATTTCCATCGATTCGACTTCTTTGGAGTTTGTGAAATTTGTGAAATTTGGAGATTGTATTGTGATTTCTTCGGTTGAACTAAAGTTTGGGGTTGATTCGTCGATTTCCTCGGATTCTGTTGATACTTGAGTACTGGAAGTGTTGGGCGATGAATTCAAACTTTCGCCGGCAGAGTCTTTCACGACGGTTTCAAATTCGACAATTCTTTCTAAATTGGGTAGAGGTTCGTTGCGAGTTTTACTTGGAAGACGAGGATTTCCGGTGACAATGTACTTTGAATCGGTTTTATCTTCGGTTCTTTCGAATTCAACGGCGGTTATTGTGGCAACTCCTGTACGGAGATGTTTCTCTGGATCTTTCTTTTTTTCCGGAGATTCTTCCTTTGAATTTTCCAAAACAGAGGTGATTTTATCCACTGGAATTGTGTGTCTAAATGGTTTTAAAGTGCCGACATTTTCTACTAAACTGGGTCTTGCGCCGCCATTTAAATCTGGTGTTCTATAACTCGTGTAAATTGGCTGATTCTTCTTTGAATTCTCGTCCTCGATTGCTGCTATTTCGGAATATCGATTTCGACTCTCCAGATCGATTTCCAAATCGGAGACTGGTTCGGCGACTCCAATGCCGGAAATTCGCGTTTCCTGGAAATTATCCGCATCTTTGAGTAGTGTTGGCAATTCGGATGTTTCGGAATCGATAATAAACGCTGGTTTTGTACTGGAAAAATTTGAATCGTCCAAACGACTCACGGGTCTGCGATCATCGAATGAGACAGTTGTTGATGTTTGAGAATTTAATTTTTCGATTTCTTTCACTGATTCCGAGGATGTTTTCAGTCGTAATTCAAATGTATCAGGAGGTAATTGACCGGAAATTTCAATATCAGGTCGACGGACACGATCTTCAGTGTCGATTGTAAAATTTCTTTCTAATACTAAAAGATTATTTTTCATTTTAGTGTTCAATGATGAGGGCGTCTCCTCATTGGGAACAATTCGATCGTGTGGAAAATCGGTTTCCTCTGCGTCGAATGTATTCATTCCGGGTGGATTGATAATTTGTGATTGATTTGCATTAAATAAATCTGGCGGTTTCACTTCGGATATTGGAGTGCCCATTATTAATTCCTCATCTCTGATGAAGGGTTTTGTGACTATTGTCGGATTTGGTTTAAATTGCGGTTCATTGCGTTCGGTTAATGGTTTCAGATCGGTGTTAATAAATGATGGAATTATTGGTTTCCAGGGTGATGTTTCAAAATGTGGATTTATAAAATCTTTGTGTAGTTCCTCGTCTATTTTTGTTGTAGTTGTTATTGGGACTTTTGTTGTAGTTGTCGTTTTTGTATATTTTGTTGTACTACTGGATGTGGATGAAATTGGTTTCGTTGTTTCTGTTGTTGTCGAAGATTTTGTAGTTGAAGAAGTTTCTTGTTCTTTGGTTGAAGTATTTTGGAAGGGAATCAATTTAGTTGCTTTATAGGTTCCTTGAATTGTTGGGACATTATTGAAATCAATTTCCGGTTCGCTTGATTCAAATTTAGTTGGTCTTGTTTTTAATTTTGAATTCGTGAGAAGGGAACTATTTTTATTGGGTCGCAAAATTCCGTTCTTGGTGATCATTGCGTTTCTCTGTTGACTTGTTAGACTCGATCTTTGACCGGAAGTTGTGTCTGAATTTATTCCTGAATTGTGGAAAAAATATTTAGTAATTACGAAATAAATAATTGAGTGATTACGAAATAAATATTTGGGTAAATTCTAAATTTTGATAAAATAGTTAATTTGTAAATTCTTTGTACATTAATTTGTGAATTATTTGTAAATTTGAAAATTGTTTTTAAATTAATTTGTATGAATTGTTGAAGGTACGTACTCTTCACGGAAACACTGGTCAGATCGAGTTCCATGTCTTTGAAAACAGAAGTTATTGAATAGGTTTCTTTGACGATAATTTCCTCGATTGAGTCTTCTAAATTTGCAACAGACCTTGGAACCTTCCTTCTATCAAGATAGAGTCTGAAGAAGACTTTCAAGGTTTCATTTTCGAATCGGTCGATAATTGCCTGTTTGTAGGAGGGGCCCAGGATACTTCTTCTAAAGAGATGTTCGACCTTAAAAATGTAGGGAAAAAAAGGAAAAATGATGACGGTTGCATTTAATTGAGATTTTAATTAAGAAATTCTTTTTCGATTTCCATATTATATACAAGATGATGAACTTACAATATTTTTATATTTACGCTCCTTATCTCTGAATACCATACTGGTATTAAGCTTCAACATTGGGTTATATTTTTCCCCTTTTACTATCCTGAAGCTACAGAAAAAACCTATGATGGCTGAAACAAAAAGAGAAAAAGGAATTTTTTTATTAATTAATTTTTAGCATTTCGCACGAGTTTACTTTTAATTTTTTTACGTACCTGTTTTTGAATCTGTTCTAAGAGCTGTAACAGAATATGAATGCTTATTATTTCAAGTGGATAGAAAAATAGAATAATGGTTGGAAAAAATTATTAAAATATTTTTTTTCTTGATATTAAGTATCACGACTGAGATTACAAATTTAAGAAGCGGGCAGAAGTTATTTTTGATTAAACATTTTTTTTAAATTGATTCGAACTGGGATTTTTGAGAGAATTATTATCACTGAGGTTAAAAATTAAGCAGAAAAAATAATTAAATATTTGAAACCATCTGATTTGAATAGGGACTTTTACCTCGGTGATAAATATTACAACGAAGGTTAAAAATTATAGAAGTGACTAAAAATTATTTTTGATTAAATATATTGATAGAAATGTGATTCGAATTAGGATTATAGCGGTGTGTAACGAACCTCCCATCCATAAAGCTAAACCTCCTATTGCTAAGACTGCCATTAAAACTAGCATAGCTATAATAATTAACATAGTGCTGCCAAATTTCCATGAAGAATCGGCTTGTTTCTTTTTTGAAGTTTGTGGAGGTACTCTCGACCATGCTGATCTCGGTGGAAGGAAATAATCGCTCTGCAATCAGAAAAATGGCATTTTTTATTTCTCTATTCAAAAAATTTTTCAAAAAAAAAAACGTTCAGAAAACGTTTAAAAAAGTTGACAAAGAAATAGTTTTCTCTTCTAAATTAAGAATGGTTAATTTTCTCATTCCAATTTTATTTAGATTTTAATTTTAATTAGAAATTCGAATTTTATTCCTAATTTACCCAATATTGAGAATACAAAAAAAAAATGTATAAAATTTATTGTTATGAACGTCTATAAATTATCAGAATGTTTGTCAATTAAACGGATAGGTTTGAAAGGAAAGACGTTTTGAAAATTGATTATTTGTTTTTTTTTTGTTTTTAATTACGTGAGCGGTTCTAATGAACGTTTTATAATATTCGGCGATCGTTGGGTAGGGCATATGGTAATATTGATAACGGTACCACATAAGGAATGCATTAAAAAAGAAGGAGAATTTTCAAAGTGTTTGGGTCAGCTGTGAATACTCGTTCTGAACGACCTCACAGAAATTTTATATAAAATTTCGCTTAGCGGTACATTTAACCAACTGACATGCAAAGAGTTGCTCCTCTTGCTTGTTGCGACTAGTCATGAACCTTCATATATAATACACTTATAAAGGTACGGGAACAATAATAATTGTACCGTCATTCTTCTCAGTTTCCAATAGATGAAACTCTGTTATTTCATTCTTGAATCGAAGAATATAATTTATTTTAGCCAATATAATCTGTTTTGGAGAAATTATTTTTCTATTAGTTAAGAAATTTACAATTTACCATTCATAATTATCGATTTAGAATTTACAATTACAGATTTATAATTTACAATTTACCAATTTACAAATTGCGTAGCAGTAATACTCTAAAAATCGAGACAAATAAATTTTATGATTGAGTAATGAACGATAATAGTTCTCGTATAACAAAAGCCGTGTACCATCTCTTACTTTGTGAAGGAAATATGCAAAGAGTTTGAAAAATAAAATACTTTTGAAAAGAAAGAAAAATAGAAAAAGAAGTAAAAATGCGAAGAATTGAATGTGTTTCTTGATTGTTTTTACGACTTAAAGAAAGAATTTTAAGTATCTTTACACATGAATTTAACAACAATGTAAACCACTCTTTGAGTTTTAGTGTTCAACCTTTTTTTTTCTCTTCTTCTTTTTTTTGCATGTATTTGTGCCATAAAATCTAGAAAGAAGCGATGGGAAATTATGATACAGTAGCAGTATATTTTCAAAAATTTCTTCCAATCGGAGTGTAATTTGTAGTTCCTGTTGCTTATTGATTTCAATTGATGGAGTAAACTTCGATCGATGAATAATCATTTCTGTGAAACTATACAGGGCATTCACACATTTTCTGGTTTAAATCTAGAAATACTTAGTCAGGGAATTTTATTTCATTTGAAAAAGTTGGAAAAAAATGTTAATATTGTGTTCTATGATCGAAAATTGTTGTATATAGTTTTTTATAGTAATTTTTGTATTTAAAACACGTCATTTTTTATTTTTTAATGAAAAATACTGAAATATTATTACAGTTCGTTCCTGACAATTCCAAAGTGCAACCTGAAGGAAAGGGAGATGTGGAAGAAGAAAAGAGGCCCCCTACATATTATTTTCCTGGAGGAGGCGCAAATGGTATAACATACATCGACCAACGTGGGACTCGTCGTGAATTGAATGAGTCAAGGTTTTTTCTTTCTTTACCTCCTTCTCTGTTTGAGAAATAGTTATTTCTCCTAAATATAAAATCAATTTTTAATCGATTGAAAATTAATTTCTTCAATTTTGAATTTTATAAACAGGGTTCCTACAGAACCTGGAAAAGGTATAGAATTTTGAATTAGGTGTAAAGATAGTGTAAAGATTTTTTAGAATTATTTTATAAAATTACGATTCTATTCAATTATTTGCTTTATTAGTATAAGTTGGAATTATATATTTTATGTATAATTTATTAAACATTTAAATGTTTCATATATTTAATTTAATTTCATATTTCCCTAAAGTTAATTAATTCTTAACTTTAGGAACATTATTAAAAGTAAATATTCATTTAATTTATTAATTATATATAATTATTTGTTACAATTCTTGACACGAGAAATATTGTAAATTTAGCAAAAAACAGAGAAGGACCTGAGTTAAAAGTGACATTGTTGGTAAAATTTACTATTTTGTTGTAATTTTTTTATAACTAGAAGAATTGATATTTCGTTAATGTTCTTTTATTGTTTTTATGTGCTTGTAAAAAATTTGTTGGTATTTGGCATTTCAAAAGAATTTTAAGAGCCAAAGCTTCGTAATCGGACCAGAAAATTACTTCTATTTTTGACTGGAATTTGATATGTGATCGCCTGGAAAAACCTGGAATTTTACATTACAACGGAAACAAAATATTTTATAAGATTTAGAATTTTAAATTCTAATTTTATTTTCAATGAATTAATTACTTCTCTAATTTTTATTTAGTTGGGCTACAAGGAGGAAGTTTTTTCTGGTCTGTTATCTCAAATGATTTAATCTCGAATATTATCATCGTGAACGGTTTCACTTGTATTTTTATCACAACGCAGAAAATTCGTAAAGGTTTGGTAACTTTGCGGTAAAGGTAATAGTTTATGACAATATTAATTAACAGCGTCTAATAATAGTTGGAATGAAAAAAGTAAATATTTGACAAGATTAAGAATTTTAAATACCTATTTTATTTTCAAGGAATTAATTTTTCTTTTTTTTTAGCTGGGCTACAAGGAGGAAGTTTTTTCTTCTCAAAGAAAAAATATCCAGTCACTGTATTTTCCACTACGATGCTTTATAATTCCTGATTGTAAGTATTTTTTTTATTGGTAAAATTAGATTTCAATTAGATTATTGATTAGAATTAGATTTACCCAAAACTTTCTAACTTTTTAGTTTTCGTTTTTTTTTTGTGAATTTAGTAGTAGACACCTGGCGTAAGTAACATCTGGGTTTTTAGAAGCTGATGAGGAACTTTTTTAAATTTCAATTCTTTTTTGTTAAAATTTAACCCTCTGCCTACGCTGACTTATTTTGAATGTAATTTCCAAAGTCTCCACCAAACTTTACGGGTTTTTTTTTTTTTTTTTTTTTGATAAGTCTTAGTTTTGATCAACTAAGTAGGTAGAGGGTTAAAGTTATTTAATTTTCTAATCAGTTTTCTTTTTCAGTGTATAATTCGAAAGATGTGGAGAAGAAAAGTGGTCCCTGCACACTGCCGTGTTTTTTTTAAATATTTTTTTTGTAGTTTACTTAGTCTATTTTTTAATTTTTTTAAAGTAGTGTATTTAGTCTATTTTTTATTTATTTTTGTTTAATTTTTAATTTCACGGTTCCGTGTGGCCCTTGACCTGGCGCAGAAGTGCGATCAAGACCCAGGGATCTTCAGGGGTGGCCCAGAAAGGGTGATGTCGTAGGATCCCATCGCCACAACGTGGGCTCATCATCCACCGTGGGAATCACAAAGTGGACAATCACAAACTGTGATGCCACTAAACAAGTGAGTCGATTAAACAATCGACTCAATATTACAAAACTATATTTTCAATATTTAACCTTCCCTGTTTAATGCGCTTTTTTAAATTTTTTTCAATTAAAATGAGTATGGTAAATTAATTTTCAGAATTAAAAATCAATTTTTTACTAATTCTTGAGACTATTTTGTTTACTTAAATACAGTTGAAATTAAAATTAAATTAAAAATTAATTTTTTGATCAATTTTAAACTTTAGAATTTTGAAATTGTTTATTGAACTTTTTCAATAAATATATTGCATTGTTAAAAGTCGATAGTAAATTTCTAAAAAAAAACAGGGAAGGAACAAAAACAACATAGTGACACCATTGATAATTTTTATTATTTCGTAGTATCTTCGGTTACAACGTAAATAATATTATTATCAATGTTTATTTTATAGTCTGTTATGTGTGTCTTTTCGATTGTTTCATTTGCAATACTTTGTCATTTTTGCTATGATGCCAAGCAACTTTTTTCTATCATTAAGATTTATTAAAAGTAAATTTCTATTTTTTATTTTTTATCTTTAGTAATATTTTATTAATTTTCAAATTCCTTGCAATTACAATTTTTTTTAGTCAGTACATTCCATTTTTATTCACTTCTTTCGTTTTAATCAATTATTTAAAGTTTTATTCTACTAATTTGTGTTTTATTAAATTATTGGTTTAAAATTGATCTTTTGGAAAATAATTATTGAAAAGTTCTGAACGTTCAAATGAACAAAATTTGTTAATTTCTTCTTCAAATTAAATTTTTGTTACAACAAATTTGCGTCACTATAAAGAAAATTAATTATATAGTTTCTAAATGTAAAGTTTATCACTTTCATTCATTGGTATCAATGAAAATTAATCTGTAATTTATGAAAATATTTTTAACAAAAAATATTTCGTTCATTTGAACGTTCACAACTTTGGAGACTTGGCAAATGGCATTTATGGATACAATTAAGTGTTTTTCTTTCAGGAATTTTGTTTTTCTTTTTTTGAGTGTTTTTGAGCTAAGGTAACGGATGCGTCCCGGGACGTATGGGTGAGCCTAACGTGCCCCTTTATCCCTAGTGTAGGCTTTTTGCACCTTGGCGGTATGAGAGAGGATCGTGGAGTGAATGTATTTTATTTAATTAAAAATTTGAGTATAAAATTTAGAAATTTTTATTTATAGAGTGTGAGGTAAATTTTTTAGAAGTGTGATTGAGATTGTTCTTTTTTACAGGCGGTTCGTGAATTAGAAATAGGTTTTCAATAAATAGGCGTTTAGATAAATGAAAAAAGATCGGGAAGGTAGAAATCGGGTAGGTAGGACTAGCTTCAGGTAGGAAAAATCGGGAATATTTTCGGCTCAAAATTTGAGTCACAGATACTGGGATTCACCAGTAAACCGATGGATCCTTTTGGCTCATAATTTGAGTCACAGAGATACTGGAATTTACCAGTACCAATGGATCTTTTGACT